TTCGTGGTCCTTTCCTGCCATCATTAGATGCGAGAGATCTGTGCATAGGCGCTAGGACCCTGCAGAGAGCGCTCTCCGTAAGGTCCTGCAGGTTGAGGCCTGCGAGATGGGCCCCTTTAGACCTTCACTAAGTAGGCCGACCCCTTTTCTGGGCAGACCCGCTTCCTTTCTGGATAGGTCCGTCCATTAGGGTCTTCGCCAGTGACAAAGTAGTGTTACTGGTGATGCCCCCCCTAAAGACCAATACCATACACAAGCTGTCACTAGTACAGTCTCTGCCATAGTAAACATTATAATAAAATAATATTGAGGCACTATCTGAAATAATGAAAAGGACACACAGATCCAAACTAAAATCAAGTGTTTGGGTGCTGAATGCCTGTATTTACTTTAATAACAGGTCCCCTGGAACAGCCTTAACGGCGAAACGCACAGCGGGACGTTACTTTGTATGGCATTGGTACAGTTGATAAGGGGACATGCCTTGACACTATTAGATTATACCACCCATACAAGACTTATTTTTATCTTTTATTTTTCACCAATTCTTTATTTATTATTTTTGGTTTCCTTTCTGTGGTCGTGTTTGACGAACTGCATTTATTTAACCCAGAGGAAGGGAGGGGGTTACTAGCATTTTTAAGGGGTGCCCTTGAAGGCACAGCAGAGTAGGGAAGCTAGTCTTTCCAATTTATACTTTCTCTCCTTGAAAACTACTTCGATCTCAGGCAGGACAAAGTTTTGCTACAATTTATGTTATATGTTATCATATTCCCCCTTCTGGGTTAGAAGACAAGCAACATATGTGACTCCTAGCTTGTAGTTACATTTGTTGCAAATCCTGTATTAACTCTTTGCAGAATTCGATTCAAGCTTCCAATTACCACTGTTTGACAGTGAGATATTATTGGACTTTTATTTATTTTTTCAACTTTAATTATTATTTATTTTTCCATTTACTTCTTCTTAATGTTTATTTAGACAGTATTACTTTGATACTTAATATATTTTCACTTAATGTTCTTTATGTATTTTGGGTCATATTTATTCTGCTGATAACCTTCATATATTTAGACTTAGTATTTTTTTACTACATTTTTTATACAATACTTATAAAAAGTTACGTTTTATTTGGGTTACTCGCTCTACAGAGGGGTTCACCTACTAAATGGTTTACCCTTTTTTTTTTCTTTTCTATACTTTGGCATACTTTAATAACATAAATAATTTATAACCAAAACGCTTGAGAGGGTGTCAGACGTTGATGAAACAAGAGGCCTTTTTATTTCCACTACTTGGTGACGAATTTTTATGTACATTGTTCTCAGTGATCTTACATGCTCCCAACATCTTACGTGCTCCCCCGTTACAGTCCATAATGAATGCGGCGGCGAGGCTCATCTTCCTGTCCGGCCGCACCTCCCACGCCTCACCTTTCTGTCAGTCCCTACATTGGCTTCCTGTAAGATATAGAGCTCAATTGAAAATTCTGGTTCTTACTTTCAAATCTCTACAAGTATGTCCCGTCTAGGCCCTTACTCACTGCTGAAGACTTATGTCCATCTTCTGTCCGTACTCCCACCTCTGATTCTCACCTTCAAGGCTTCTCCAGGGTTGTACCGTTTCTGTGAAACTATCCTTACCTTTTCTGACACTTTACCCCACTCACTCTAGCATGTAATCTCATTAAGCAGGGCCCCTTAACCCCTCTCTTCCTGTGTGTCCAACTTGTTGGTTACAACTACATGTCTGTTCATCCACCCACTGTAAAGCGCTGCGGAATTTGCTGGCGCTATATAAATAATAACATAATAATAACAACATAATAACCTAACTCAATCAAGGATCAGAGAAACCTGTTAAAAGACACACTCCATCGTCCGGTAACATGGTTCATGGTTGCTCATTAAGTTGCTAATTGTTTTCTAAACTAACCACTCAAGGTGAATTTCCAATTCTAGGTTTAGGATTGTAAGCCTGTTTGAGCAGGGTCCTCATCAACCTATTTTTCCTGTAACATTTTGTAACTGTCTCATTTTATTGTTATATTTTCCCCTTTAAAATATTGTAAAGCTCTGCAGAATAAGTTGGCACTATATAAATGCCAAAAATAATAGTAAACAGATAGCTGACAAGCTGAGTTGCACATTTATTTTTTTTAGTATGGCTACACAGATGACAGAAGGAGTTTGGTATATTAGTACAATACAATCAATCAGTATAACTCCCATACATCGAATAACGTTTGCACAATAGGATCAGCAATATTTAGGAAACTCCATCTCATCCCATTCCTCACTGCCCCACCTCCAATGCGGACCGTCACTCATTTTATATAAGTAAGTAAGTGAAAAACTAAAAACAAAAAGAAGATCATGAGAAGTATAATGCTACGCTGGAAACTACATTGTCGTTTTGAGCTGTAGTTGTGTCCCAGCCGTGTGTTTCATCAATTAGTCTCAACCTCATTGCTGGTTGTTTTTATAACGTGGGTACAATACAAGTGGAGGCATTATTATATATGTATAATTTAGGATGTTGCATCTTTTCAAGTAATTTCAGTAATTACAACAATAGAATTACAGTAAGATGCGCAACAAAGCAACAGCATACCATAGCCCCATGTCACAGCAGACAAGAAATAGTACTACTCAAGGTCGCCTCCTCCCCTTTCCCTCAGTTTCAGTGAGTAGACTACTAGAATACTGGTATTACCCATCTGTGGTGCAGCTTGCATTATCTACAAAAATAGAAAACATGACCCATCAGTGTGCTTGTGTATTGCTAATAGTGCCTGTCTGGATTCAACCTCCACCTCTGCAGAAGTCAAGTACTGCAAAGGGCCAGCGCCCGAAGCTCCCCAGAGCGGGACCGCACACCCCATCACAAATGTCCCAACCCCTGCTCCAACCTCTCCACCCAAGGAGCCCACACCTCTTCAAATCACGTGGTAGTGTTGCACAATATTGCTGTTACTTTGTCCAGAAGATAGGACTCTCGGATCCTGTGTATATATTCTGCCATGCTGGGAGCAGTGTCCCTTAGCCACTTTGCAGCCAGGGACTGCTTGGCAGCTAGAGCGATTTGGTTAAACAATTTTAGGGATCTAGCTGGTAGGCCACTAACAGGCCTAGCTAATATGAATGCCCAGGGGTCAAGATTAAATGGTTTGTCAAATAATGCTGTTAGTAAGTCACGAAAAAATCCTGCCAGAATGGTTTCAGTTTTGCACATTCCCACCACATGCGGAGGTATGAACCCTTTACTCCACAAGAACGCCAAGATAAATCAGTAGTGCTTTTCCTCATTCTGCAGACCTTAATCAGAGTGGTATACTATTTCATTACTGCCTAGACCGCTTTATTTGCATCCGCATACACACCAAGATCCTACCTGCAACCTCCCAAATGCTAGTTTGGCTCTTTTAGCATAAAAGTAGAAATTAATTTCGATGCATTACAATTCACACTTTAGTGACTAACCCGGGGTACAATCAGAATTAAAGGACCACTTCAACTCAATGAAGTGGTCTGGGTGCAAGGTCCATCTAGGATTAACCCTTTCTGCTGTAAACATAGCAGTTTCCTATGAGAATGCTTTCCTATGGACTAACTGAATGCGCGCGCAGCTCTTGCTGCGCATGCGCATTCAGCGGATGATGTCAGAAGAGGGAGGAGAGTCCCCAGCGCTGGAGAAAGGTACAAATTTAACTCCTTCCTCCCTCTTCAGCCTGGCGGGAGGGAAACCCAGAGGGTGGGGGGGACCCAAAGACCCTATAGAGCCAGGAAAGCGAGTTTGTTTTCCTGGCACTATAGTGGTCCTTTAAATTTAACAGTACTGAAAGTCTCAGCCGTCTAGCTCAGGAGAGATAATGGAACCTTCTGCTTAAGAGCTTCCAGCTCTCCATCATCAGTAGTGGAGGCAGGTAGTGGCACTGAACAGACCCCAGATAAGAAGTCAAACAGTTCTAAGAAAATGAGTTGCGGTGGTTATGGTGCTTGGAGTGTTCCTTTAACAGAACACAAATTAAAACCTTAACTGTAACACACAAATAGGCTCAGGATGAGTGTGCAGGGCTTCAAGGAGTGTCGCCATGCCATAACGGATGGGCCTGTCTGGGAAGTAGGCGTATGCGTGGCCCCCTGTCAGATGTCATCAGAAGGGCGACTGGACGCCAAGGGAGTAAATAAATCAGGTGAGTAAATAGAGGGTTTTAACCCTTTAAATGGCGGAGGAGGGGGCTGCACGGAAGCCTCTGGTCTAAAGTGTCAGCAATACAGTTTTCTATTCTTAACACTAGAGAACAGGCATAGGCAACCTTCGGCACTCCAGATGTTTTGGACTACACCTCCCATGATGCTTTGCCAGCATTATGGCTGTAAGAGCATTATGGGGGGTGTAGTGAACAGCATCTGGAGTGCCGAAGATTGCCTAATCCCTGCTAAAGAATCTCATTAAGTTTTAAATTCACTTTTCACTTTCAGTGAATAACCCAGTACTTTCAGACACCAGCAGACCTAAACAAAAAAAAAAATAACCACAAGGGGGCGCTCCGTCCCCGTCACGTGACCTCATCTCCAGCCAACTGGCGTGTCCCACATCCTTACTGGACCAGACCGCGAAGCACGTCCTGTGCGTGATGACGTCAGCAGACGGAGCCTATAGTAACGTGAAGCGCCGCTCTCCGTAGCCGCTGGAAGACGGAACGCCATGGTAACAGCGGCCATCTTTGGTATTGGCAAACTGTTTGCAACGGCTTGCGGAACGTCAGAGACTGCATTCACCCCACACCCACAGCGCTTTGTAAATCGCTTTTACCGTGCCGATGCTACATCCATAATATGTCACTATGTATCCTTGCAAACTATGAACTGTAACTGCCGCGCTACCTGCCAGCTAGACGGGTGACTATGAACTGTAACTGCCGCGCTACCTGCCAGCTAGACGGGTGAGTGCAGGAAGTTTGCCAGGAACAAAAATGGCGGCTTGCCATCCGTCGCACTGACTGTCGCAGGTCGGTGGGCGGGGTAAGGCTCCTCCTGGCAATGCTGACGTGGAGTGACAAGAGGCCGAATATCGCGTCATCCCAGCTGGAAGAGGAGGAGGGAGAGAGGGAGAGCCTGAGAGAGAGTCTGCCTGGTCCGTTGCTGTCCCAGTGTCAGCGGTGTGAGTGAGATAGAGACACAGAGCGGCCCTGCCTGCGCCAGCCATCACCATGGGCATCCGCAAGAAGACAAGCAAGACCCCCCCGGTGCTCAGCCATGAATTCATCATCCAGAACCACGCAGACATCGTGTCCTGCCTGGCCATGATATTCCTGCTCGGGCTCATGTTCGAGGTAAGGGTGGCCCATCCTGCAGGGCCCACCGCACCCCCAGAGTGCCAGCATGGCACCCTCCCACGAATGGAATGCTTGGCACCCCCAGATTGCCAGCATGGCACCCACAGATTGCCAGCATAGCGCCATGCCAACATAGGGGGTCAGCATGGCACCCTCCCACGAATGGAATGCTTGGCACCCCCAGCTTGCCAGCATGGCACCCCCAGATAGTCAGCATGGCACCCTCCCACGAATGGAATGCTTGGCACCCCCAGATTGCCAGCATGGCACCCCCAGATAGTCCACATTGCACCTACCCACAAATGGAATGCTTGGCACCCCCAGATTGTCAGCATGGCAGCTTCCCCACCTCCCCCCGTGTTATCCTGGCACCCCCAGGGTACAGGTTGGCACTTTCACAGAGGATCAGTATTGCACCCCACAATCCCTTACTGGTCTACACATCTCTTTACCTGCCTGGGGTTCCTGGGAATTAGAGTCAAAATCCAGCTGGGGAGTCATTCTAAGTATATAGATATCAACTAATAATGTTTAACCCCTTAAGGACACATGACGTGTGTCATGTCATGATTCCCTTTTATTCCAGAAGTTTGGTCCTTAAGGGGTTAATGGTCACCGAGTACTGATCACACTGGTCCCAATGTATATGGAGATTGTGTGCAATTAATGTGTATGTTTACTGTCACAGCTGGGTCCTGTGCAATCATCCCACAATACACATGCAGAGCAAGTGCTTACGTGTTACTCTAAACACTTCTCTTTAAATTTGGACAAGAGAATCTAGATACCTTGATGTATGGTACACGTGTTTTGTTTATCTCTAAAGCTTAAAATATTGCTGTCCAGTTTCATAGAGCCTATTGTGTCAATTAGTCTTACATTTTGATGACCCCCAAAAAATGCAGATTATGTGAGGGAATTTTATCCCCAACTAAACCGTAATAGTAATATTATTTTTTTTAGATCTACTATGTTTCTTAGTGCTGAAACGTCTCTGTGCATCCCTACTCCCAATATATAGTGCCACATCACTTCATGCTTGTGCATAACTTCATTTTGTACTGTATGGAACCCCATAACTCTAACTGTTCACAAATAGTTGTAGTTGATAAACTCCATGGATAAGAGAGCCTTATTAAAAGTTATTAATTTCTAGTTTAGTGATTGCATGTTTGTATATTTAATTTATTTGTAATTATTATTTATTAAAAATTCCTAATATTGTTTGCCATATGTCTGAATTATGGTGTGTCTATTTTCAAGGGCTACTAAACTGCTCTTATGTCTTTATCAGTTAATGTATTTGGACAGTTATTTTGTCATCCATATTTTATTTAGGAAAGTGAGAGTTAGCAGATTATTTACATTTTGAGTACACACGTAAGGTTTTGTAGACATGTAAACTGTATACGTGTATGCATTAATGGTCAATAAACCTTTCAGTTATTAGTGCTGTAAAAAAACATCAAAATGCAATTGTTCTATTGGCAGTGAAAACCCATTTTTCTTTCTGTCCCCTTTTGAATAGCAGACAAGTTCTGTAATTTCCTTTAACCTCTTAAGGACACATGACATGTGTGATATGTCATGATTCTATTTTATTCCAGAAGTTTGGACCTTAAGGGGTTAAATGTTTATACTTCACATGTTGATAGGATCATTTGACGCCTCACAAACTACATTTATTTTAACAGAAAAGATGTTGTTTACAGGCAGTCATTGAGACTTATTTTAAGAGATTTCATTATCATGGCAGTAGAGTGTTTTTTATTTTTTTTTTTGTTTTTTTTTTGTGTGTGTGTGTGTGTGCACATCATGTCCCATAAAGCTTAACTGGCATAATCATTGTCAAGTGGTTAGCCATAATGGCAGAGCCCATTTCCACAGTAAAAACAGTTTTTTAAAATCATGTATTGTGAGTATTATCAATACTAGTTTGCTAATTTACAAATAAAAAATGTGACTTTTGTCCTTGAAGACCAGTATTGACACTATTCGTTGTGGTTTGGTTACCCGCCAGGTCAGAAATATCAAGTTTCGCTAAGACACTGGCCAAGTGTAATCATTACATTAAACAGCTGCTGTCTAAATTGGCTAATGATAAATTGTTATTTATGGGATCAATACTATATAAACAGGACAAATTCTAAGAAAATTCTATGTAAAATATTATTGTAGTAAGTGACACAATTGTGAGTATCCAGATATCTGAAAATAAATTAATATATATCTAGTACATGCAACTTTAGAAAGATCAGCAGTGTTCCTGCGTGAATGGACACAGTTGCATCACAGCATCTGTACATCCGTTAAAAAGATCCCCATCACAAGACGAGTATGCATTGTGTGTATTACCTGTATAATGCTAAATATTTTTGTGGTATGTAATTTTTCTTTTCTTTTTTTTTTTGGTAGGAATTATTTATAAAAATTTTTTTATTTATTTTATGAACCATCAAATTACCTTTTGTAATGACACTTAATTTCTTACTTGAGATAATAATGTGTTCCTATTTTCTGATACACATTAGTTAGATGCACATAAACCGCTGATATGCCTAAATTGTTTTGACACACAGTTAATTTAACTCTTATTCTGTTTTGACCTTTCGTGTTGCTGTTCCATAGTTAGAGTGGCTTGGCTATTTAATCTAGCTGGTGTCTGGCTTGACATACTTTGTGAATCTAATTTTTTTTTTATTTTTTTTTACATTTTTTATTGTAAATATAATCTACATACTGTACAACGTATCATCCTCATAATCTTCAGTTTGTGACAATACTATTTTAGCACTGACCCAGAAACGTACACTACAAGGACCAAAACAAATTTAGCTTAAAGGGACTCTCCAGACCCCTAAAGGACTTTCTGAAGTACTTTCCTGGTTTGGTTAGCTCAGTGGAGCTAAACCCAAGATGCATCAATTGCCCAGAGCACTTGCCTTGCAATGACATCTCGTTGAGCTGCATTGGGAAGTCTCTGACTGGACAGCCACAGAAATTCTTGGCTCGGGAAGGAGGGGTGGGATCTGCAGTTCTTGCTAGCTGTTTTTAGATATAGTCCCAATGAAAAATGCATAATTAAATGTACATTTTTATTTAGGGCATGCTGAACAATGTTATGTTTGTGGGTTTTTTTTCTATATTTTTTGGGGGGGGGTAATTGTACAGTGGCGTTAGGAGTTAAATCATTTTGTTTATGGAACCGTAGTCACACCCCGCATGCATGTGATCTACACTGTTTCTACACATTTTTTTTTAATTTTTTTTTTTAAGAGAAATCTAATTTTTAAACTGGCTTTATTGCACAGTTTTTTTTTAATTTAAAATTTATCTTCTGCTCTGTTAGTAGCCTGCAGGACCCTATTGTTTAATCTTCAATTAACAGAGCAGAAGTTGAAAACTTTTGAAGTAAACCCCTTGTCCTGTAAAAGCTGATTGAAAATGAAATATTTTTGAAGTTGGCCTTGTCACATGCAGCAGAGGTTTGACAATGGCTCTTAAATGGCAGATAATTTAGCAGTGACACTGCAGGGTCATGATCTATACATCAAAACTGATGTATTATCCCCTTAACTATCAAGCAATTTGGGGGGAAAAGCAATCCCCAGAAGAGTGCTTTGAGTGTCCTTGAAACAAACACAAACATTTTGCTTGAACAGGAAAAACTTTTAAAAAGTCACGTAGCATATCCTGAAGTTACATATAAGAAACTGTTGCAAATAAATAACATTTCTTAATATATAACAGATTCCTACATTGCCCCTCTCCCGCATAGTCTATATGATCTCCCACATTACATATAGTTGCCACTTTGGACACCTATAAAATTAGAGAGATGCAGACCCATATTTGTGTGTGTGAATTGGCACCTGTGGGTCTGTTTGGCATTGTGAAGCATATATATGTTTGGGAGTTTGTCTGCCATTGATTATCCTTGTGCATCTGAGTCTATATCTGTGTGTCTTTGTACCTTTTGACTGGGTCTGTGAGCATGTACATGTGTGGGAGAGCTGCTTGCAGTGTGTTGCATGGGGGGGGGGGGATGCTTGTGGCTTTTATATGTGCATTGTGGTTATGGCAAGACTATACTGTGTGCATGAAGGAAGTCTATGCATGTGGGTTACTGTAACAGTGTGTATGAAACAATGACTGCTGCATTGTGTTGGGTGCTCTGTGTTGCACTGTTACTGGATGGCCTGTCGTCACAGTATGTGTATATAACGGTGGCTGTTGTATCACTAGGTGACATGTAGTTCTAAAATTGTGTATGTAATGGTGGTTGCAATATAGTGAGTATTAATGAGTGGCCTAGTTATATTATGTGCATAACCGTGCCTGCTGGCTTTGTGTTAGGTGGCCTAGTTACTGTACTATCTATGTAACAATATGTGTTATTGGGTGGACTGTAATAGTGCCTGCTGTATTGTATTTCTGGGTGGCCTTGTAGTTACGTTTGTGTGTAAAACAGTGGCTGCAGCATGCTGGGTTGTTTTGTTTCTGGCTGTGTGCCTGAAGCTGCAGAGCAATGTGAACGTGGCAGAAGTGTACTGCTGAACTAAGGATTGAATCGTTCTTCAAACTGTTCATAGCTCTGCTTTCACTTCAAACCCCACTGTTACACAGCTGTAGCTGTAAGATGCTTCTCAATTGTTGCCAAGTATTTTTAGAGTTAAGGAACTACCTTGAATATTATTTATTTTTATTTCTCCGATAGATCCATCAATAGAATTTATATGAAAAGAAAGTTGATTACCAATGCAACTTTTAATTATTGTTTTTGCTTATTGGATTTATAAAACACTCGTGTATTGTTTTTAGAAAATTTATACATGCCTAAAACTAACTTTTGTTACTGTATCATATTCATTTGTTATAAAATTACACACAAGCAAGCTAGCTTCTGTTACTGCAGCATTCCTCCATGTCCTTGTTTAATGAGGTACTAGTTGGGCACTGGCTGTATTTTGCCACTAGTACATGCCCAGTGCATTCTTGGAAAAGATTGCTATACATGGTGTGAAATGTGAGTTTCCTGTTTTTAGTTAAATTACAGTTGATTCGTTAGAGTATCGCCATAGGTAATGGATTCTCAAACGTCTGCCTTTGTCACATTCCACGTGCTGCTATGTGAATATAGTCCTTTCCAAACATGACCTGTTAATAGTGTATTCTAATGTAAGGAAGCCTTTTCCTGAAAATGTATTATAGATAAGAGATGGACCTAGGTTCCCACCACCCCACCCTAAAGCTGTTATAACACTGCAGCGCTTTATTTGTCTTATATCTAGGAAAGCGTTGTGGGATTCTCATTTCTACCTTTTTACACACCTGCGATATAAAACGTGGGGTATATCTGTTTCCAAATCATTGGCTGGCTTCAAACTCCCCTCAGCCATATTGTAGTGGCTCTTGCTCATTTGGGTGAATGGGACTTAAAATATCCTGTTTACAAAGAAAAATAATATTCATTATAAAGAAATTCTTGCTTTTGGTAAAATGCACTTAAAACCTAAAAAAATAATCCTGTTTAATTCTAAAAAAAGCTCTAATATTTAGGAGCCAGACTTTGCCATTTTTCAGCCATCTGGCACTAGTTTACCTGGCACTATAGTTTTCCCCCTTCACCAAGGCCCCCCTTCCTCCCCGTGTTGCAGAAGATGTTAAAAACACCTACTGTCACTTACCTATATCCAGCACCGATGTCTCTCTGCACTGGCTAGGGCCCACCCTCTTTCAACCCCGCCAACATCAGCCAGCAGGGGAGACTTAATGCGCACGTGTGGCAATGGTCACATTAGGGTTTCCCCATAGGAAAGCATTATTCAGTGCTTTCCTGTGGGGATTCTGGTGATGCTGAAAGTCCTCATGCATAGCGTGAGGACGTCCAGCTTCCGTTAGACAGCCACAAGAGTAGTAGTTAAGTAATTATTGCAGTTTAAAAACAACTGTTTTAATTACCTTTGCAGTGTTTAAGGGTGCAGGGACACTGCACCCAGGCCACTTCAATGAGCTGAAGTGGACTTTGTGCCTAAATCACGGTTTATGCTACCCTAGTTACACCTCCTTGCATGTGACTTACACAGCCTTCCTAAACACTTCCTATAAGTGTCGCCTAATGTTTACACTTCTTTTATTACAAATCCCTTTTAATATAGAATGTCTCATCTGCTGCTCTGTAAATAACTTGCTAGACCCTGCATGTAATTAAAGTTCATTTTACAGAGCAGATAAAAACTTTTAAAGTAAGTTGCATATGATTGAAAATGAAACCATTTTGTTTTCATGCAGGCTGTGTCAGTCACAGCCAGGGGAGGTGTGGCAAGTCAGCATGGACAGAAACAAAGGGGAAGTAACTCCTAAATGGCAGAGAACTGAGCAGTGAAACTTGGCCTGTTCTATGCACAATACTGCTTCGTCAAGCTAAACTTGTTTTGATGACTATAATATCCCTTTAAAATTTCTGTGGCTTGGTGTGTGGATTTTCTTGCCCATAATTCTTTTTATGAAAGCCAATAGTTCTGCAGAGGGAAACCCATAATTCTCTCTGTGAAGATTTGACGGACTTTGGACATTGGAATAGAAAATCTAAGGATGATGTACTTTATGTGGAGTTTCACTGTTGCAACCACTATTTCTGTAACCATAAATGACTGTTTCACATGAATTTGTTGTTTTTATTGGTTTATGGTTGGTGTATTTATTTGTGTAAACATGCTATATCTAAACTGATCTGGTAACATACACTTTTTTAATAATTTTTTTTTTTAGATCACAGCAAAAGTGGCAGTAATGTTTGTCACGCTACAATATAACGTTACCATTCCAGACGAAGGCAAGTATTTTACAATCTGATTTTAAAACCTGTGCATGTGTTTGTCTTGCTTTGATAGTATGCATTTTTTTTTTCTTGCTGTGTTGTCTGTTCAAAGAGGATATTACAACTATACTGTGTGATTGACAAATTACAAGGAAATGGTCTAGTCAGTTATTCTGAGTAAACCTGCTGGTTTGTGTTATAATTCCAAACAATATAAATAAAAACGATATAAAAAAAATCACCCTGAATGTCACATTTTCATGCTGATCCCTAGAAACTGTAGTTTGAGTACTGTGGCTTGAGACCTCTCGGCCAATTGTTTCTCTCACTGAATGCATAGGTATACTTTCAAATTTTGCTAATAAGCAAGGATATATGGAGAAAACCGGTTTCATGCAAGTGTTCTCCACTTTCTGGGAGACATGGCAAGTCAATTTTGTGTGTTACATTATTTGCAAACACAATTTGCGAAAAGCAGAAAAGCAGTGGGTGTATTTATGATAAAAGGAAATATTAATTCAGTTGAAAATTCTCAAGCCTAGTGTTGATTTTCTTCCCCACAGTGTAACCTATACATTGCTGGCAGTTTAACTATCAAATATGTTATTCAACATCCAAACTTTTAAAAAGCTATATTTTGTTATTTTACAGTTACTAGAAACATGCAGTAGTAAGTTGGCTTACTTTTCGGCATCAATCTAAGGCACAGTTGGCCGAACATTAGGCCAGTCACGAGAGACTCGTTCTCCTCTTTGGAGTCTCTAATGATGCTTGCGTGTTTCTCTCCTCTACAAATCACAAACCACCTGTTATGTACCTAGGTACAGTAACCAATGAGAAAGGTATGGGATAGGTGATTAAAAAGCAGAATTCTGGAAACGTACATTGTTTCCATATAAACTTCATAAAATTGAGCATGCAAAAATTTAATGAATTTTTAAAGACAAACTATAAAGTATTTAGAAGTTGTGTTGATACCTGGAGTGTTTCTTTAATGCTGAGAGAATATTTGTGTGTGTGTGTGTGTGTTTGTGTGTATAGGACAGAATCAATGTCTAGCCTAAAGACACCCAATGGTTCAATTAGACATTGTTTTATTGTCTTTTAACAAAAAGGCTTATTTCTGCTGCTCTCTAGAAAGATGTGATATAGCAATAGTAGTATAATATGTTAATATTTGATTCATTTTTTTTTTTCTTTGTAAAATAAGCTCTTTAAACAAATCTCTACCAAGCTGACAAATCCTTATTATCCTTTTATCTTTGAGAGGAAAAAAAAAGGTTCAAAAATAGAAAGCAGTTACCAGCTGTTCTGACTATTTACAGTACAGCTCCTGCTAGTCACAGAGCAGCCCTGCAAATGGGAAGATATGCGTGGGACTTATCATTTAGTCCTAGAAACCCAAGCTGAATCCTTTCTCCATTTCAATTTTGTTTTTTACTTCTCCCCATGTCATGCTAATTAGATTCTTTAGATACCCTTTGACATAGTGTTAAAATGTGCCTAATGGGTACATTTACTGACAGTCTCTTCAGGCACAGCAGTGGAAAGAATATTTAACCTGCTAATGGGGAACATGGCATTTGTGTGTCAAAGGGACTCTCTAAGGGCCATAACATCCTGTGCCCATTACATAGGTTATGGTGCAAGGTCCCCCGTTGCCTTCTTGCACCTAGTTGCTTATAACTGTAGTGACTTGGGGGGAAACCAGCACTGCATGTTTCTTCTAACTTTGACTCTAGAGAAGGACTTTACACTTGACTTCCTGTATTGGACTGTTTGTTTTGCACCCTCTCTGGATGTTGGGGAAATTCCAAACTCTGACTCTAGGTATTCACAGTATGCGGTTTAGGTGAATGCTGTATTGAGCCACATTCACAAAGCCTTGAGTGGAATAGGCAGTAGGTTGCTTTAGTGTGGCTCCATTCAGCTTATTTAGCACTTTCACTTATCAGATAAGATGACCGGGATTGCTGTTGGTGGCTGAACAAAATTTCCTGAGGGATAATGTCAGACCCCCTGTGTCAGAATGAGAGGCTCCTGATTGGTATGTCCTCTTCCTGGTCTTGGAGGAGTTTCCCTGCTGGTTTGAAGAGCAGTGTGCCATTAAAGGTGCATACCTTTTGTATTCTCTGAATAAGTCTGTTTCGTACTGATGCTTGCAAGGTGCCTCGATTGCTGACAAACAATTACAGCTACTAGCACAGTCACTTGCTTTTATATGTTTTCAATATAGGGGTTCTAACATGGTCACCTGTATCAATGTGAACAAAAAATGAAACCCTCTTTTTGCAGTAGCAGTGACAGAAATATGTTGTCTGAGCAGAGTCTAATTGGCAATAGGAATAAATGAATGCACACCTCCATTTTACACCGTACCGGCCGCCGTCTGGCTGTAACATGGAAACAAAAAAACAAACCTTTAATTTCACTTTAAACCAGCACTATCATGGGTACATATCACATATATTTTGAAGAAGATACAATCTTGATGACATGCAATCAAGATATCATAATCCGAATTACAGAGTGCATTGTCTTTTTATCAAGCCCTAAGTTTATAAAAAGTGGAACCATCAAGTTGTCAGTTGTCAGTTCCCACAGCCATCGCTAGTGACTGCTATGCCACTTCAAAACAGCATCTAGAATGTCGTGAGTAAATTTGGTTAATGCAGTGACTAATACAGCATACAGCTTGCTCATCTCACTACAAGAGGATGTAACTTGCATATAGACACTGTTTTGAGGTTAATTTGTATTAATTCATTTTTGTTGTTTTAGGAGCACTTGTTGAACCAGTTTCTCTGTATCACTACGGTCTCAAAGATTTGGCCACGGTTTTCTTCTACATGCTCGTAGCAATAATATTGCATGCAGTTATTCAGGAATACGTCTTGGATGTAAGTATAGTGGATCTTTTGTGGTATCTTAATTACACCTTGTTTGTTTTTTCAGTCTAAACTGCATCTCATAGTGTTGTTGTTCTTATTGGATTTATATCCAATCTACTCTATAATCATTCATACATCTTCTAGGTGAGTTGAACCCTTTGTACAAAGCATACATTTGTGCAAGTTAAAGATGTGTTGTATTTTTTTTTGTTGTTGTTGTTTGTTTTGTTGTTTTTTAAAAAAAAAATGCTAATAAAGTGTGATAACGTGAATGTACCGATTTCACAGATTTGTATATCACTGATTTATTATTCACTTTCTTATGGAAGTCTATGCAGTCTGCTAAAAACCTTGCAGACAAAACAGAGGATTGTTTATAGTTTAATTCGGAAAATCAGAAGTTGCTTTCCTAAAATGCAGACCGTAAATGACTTGTTTGTTCTTTAAACTGCTTAACCTCATATAACATCTGATGTCTTTAGAAGCTGGTCTCTAATGACATGTGCCAGCATGAAATGACCTACTTAATTACCATCAGCAAGTCTTTAACATCCAGATGTCGTAAATGAGTGGGACATTCCATTCAGATACAGCGTCTATAGAGCCTGTTAAAATTACATTCTCATAAAATTTATTGTCATGATACCTGCTGCTGATGAGCCATTAACTATGTTGAAGTGTTACAATCCCACTTTTTCCATACTTGTCAACACTACTTTTACCATTACTAAATCCACGAAAATGGGCATTATACATTTTTGATAAATACTCAAACTTCTATTCAGACTCACTCTATGCAAATGTCCATCGTAAAAGAACATGCCTAGGGACTGTACCAGGCATTAGGAAGGGCTTCCCAAACACGGACAGTGCAAAGGTGGGCTAAATGCAGCACTGGATCCATTGAGAATGCGGTGAAAAAAACTTAAATTGCTTAGATGAGAACACTACATTGGACAAAAATTGGATTACAAAGAGTAAATAAAATTAACATGTTCACTTTTAAGAGATCAATGGTGTGTATTGCTCTTAACATTTTAGTTTCCTTAAATTATTTTGCTGGAATTTTTCTTTCAACAAATGCATGAGTCTTTCTTGCTGCTCATAAACTGGCATTCTGTTTACGTTTAACATAAAACATACAATTCTATCAGACTTTGAACTATTATGATAAAATCATGGAATATAACTGTCCACTATGTCACCTGCAGAACATGTTTTTTTAATTTCTTAAAAATACAAAAGTCGACCAGCACAGTCCCAATCTTAATAAGATGACCCTATATTAATGGTGGCGAATAATTGACCCATTTGTTTGAAACCATTAATAAAGGATCACCTTATTGTGATTGGGACTGTGCTGGACTAATGATTTTTCTACTGTTGATGTTGCTGGGGCCTTATGCCTGTACACACCAGATGGGCCTGGATCCTCATTATCTGCTATTAAAGGATCACTATAGGCACCCAGACCACTTCAGCTCAATGAAGTGGTGTGGGTGCCAGGTCCCTCTAGTTTTAACCCTGCAGCTGAAAACACAACAGTTTACACTGCAGGGTGAATCCATCCTCTATTGGCTGTCTCCCTGACAGCCACTAGAGGCTGCTCCCGCGATTTTACCTTGAGTAAATCGCACTTATTTGACACTGGACGTCCTCATGCAGTCCAACGTCAAAAAAGATTCCCATAGGAAAGCATTGAGTAATGTTTTCCTGTGGGCGGGTTTATATGTGCGCACGCCTCTGGCTGCGCATTTGGCTCCACTCGGAGGCTGCCGTCGATGGAGGAGAGGTCGCCAATGCCGAGAGAGCCCACTTTAAAATCATGGCTGTACTCAAAATGCGTCTGATTCGTATTTGAAATGATTACCTGTATCTTGGCTTGTACATTTATCATAAGTTGTTTTGTTCTAGAAAATTAACAGGCGTATGCACTTCTCGAAGACCAAGCACAGCAAGTTCAATGAATCTGGGCAGTTGAGTGCTTTCTATCTTTTCTCTTGTGTTTGGGGAGCAAGCATTATTGTATCGGTAAGTGTGTTTACAATGTAAAGACTATGACCTATCATTACTTGGTATTTTCTCATCTTTTTGCGAAAGACCTCTCTTCATGAAGTATAAACACCTAATTTTAGATGAGCTGTGACTCCCAACCCTCTTGAAATAAAGTATCAAAGCTATATTCTTGACCTATATTGAAAAACATGACGCATGCTTGACCTTATACCTTTTTCAATCTCTCCATGTACCAAGACTTCTATAATCTGTCCTATTTCTAGCAAAACTCAAGAAACCACATGTCACCAAATTAATGGAACAACCGTCCCATAATTATTAGCGACTAGGGAACTTGGTAGGTGTTTGACAATCAACCACTATCATTCAACATTCTAGAATTGTTAAATGTTGAACCCTTTCCACGCCATGTTCCAATAAAGGACAAGCATGACTACAGTAAGCTATTTCTTAAATTGTCATGCCTACTGCAAGGGATGTGTTGATTAACAGGAGAAAATATTGAGTCTCTTCAGAGTTACAAGTACCAATTTGGCTGCTCTGATGCCGTACTAATCCAGAGTGCACTCAGCCTTTGTAGTACCCATGGCAACCATCTCCACGCACCACTGTTATTTTCGGCAAAATAACTACCTGCACAGTAGCTAATTAAAATGTTTTGATTCTGGTTTAATGAATAAAGAATGCAACCAATTTCACTCTTAGTATGGCTTTGTTAACAGTTAATTGGCAGAATTTTTTTTTTTTTTTTTTTACTCTGTACATCTATATTCTGTTGATTGATCTAGTTTTATTCATATTGCTATAGAATTGCCAATTCTTTATGTATTTTTATATCTGTATTTTCCTTCTATTTCAGGAGCATTATTTTGCAGATCCTACAAGTTTGTGGAAAGGATACCCCCACTCAAATTTCCCGTATGTTAGTTAATTGTCCTTTTCCTGAGCAATCTCTTGTTTGTGTTTAGTGTTCCTCAGCTTTTTTTGAGCTACTCAAGTTAGTGTATAATAAGGTCACATAGAATAATTCATATATGTAGTCAGTTTTTAATGCTAGTTGATTTTACTAGAATTTTTATTTTTGTTTTTTTAATTCTTTATTTAGGTTGTGCTTAGGTTAACAAACAGATTTGCACTGCCTCAACAGCTGGTGCAATCAGAGCAATAGACTAGAGTTAAACACGACTGACTTCAGATAGAATGCACTTTTTTGTTCTAATAGAAGGGTAAACAATAAGCTAGAAATACAGGTCTAGACTAACAATGGCGTACAGTCTTACATGAGGTTAAGGGCGTAAGACTGTACGAAGTTTGGGTGCTGCGCGTACTTGGGGGTTGGGGTGCTGCTTGGCGTGCTTGGGGGGTTGGGGTGCTCTTGGCGTGCTGGTGGGGATTGGGGTGCTGTGGCGTGCTGGGGGATTGGGGGTGGGCGGGGGTGGGGTGCTTTGGGGGTTGGGGTGCTGTGTGCGTGGGGGTTGGGGTGCTGTGTGCGCTGTGTGCGTGAGGGGGTTGGGGTGCTGTGTGCGTGAGGGTGGAGGGGGTTGGGGTGCTGTGTCGTGAGGGGGTTGGGGTGCTGTGTGCGTGTGAGGGGGTTGGGGTGCTGTGTGCGTGAGGGTTGGGGTGCTGTGTGTGGGGTTGGGGTGCTGTGTGTGCGTGAGGGGGTTGGGGTGCTGTGTCGTGAGGGGGTTGGGGTGCTGTGTGTGCGTGGGGGTTGGGGTGCTGGGTGGGGGTTGGGGTGCTGTGTGCGGGGGGTTGGGGTGCTGTGTGCGTGAGGGGGTTGGGGTGCTGTGTGTGCGTGGGGGGTTGGGGTGCTGTGTGTGCGTGAGGGGTTGAGGTGCTGTGTGCGTGAGGGGGTTGAGGTGCTGTGTGCGTGGGGGGTTGAGGTGCTGTGTGTGGGGGTGGTGGTGGTAAAGATTATTTTTATATATATATATATATATATATATTCCCCCACCCCCCTTCTTCTTACTTTGGGGGGGAGTGGGGGGGCTAGCACCCATGGAATAGCCAGCAATGGTGGTAAGTTCTCTGCCACTTGTCTATTTCACTGTTATTGTTGAAGTGCTTACCTTGGCTTTTGGGGCATTGTAAGCCTATTTGTCTTTTTTCTCTATATGCACTTTATTAAAGTATTGTTGTTATAAGAAAAAACCACTAACTTACACAAATGTATTTCGGAGGTACATTTTATTTTATTTTTGATCCTACTCTCTATTGATCTTACTTCATCCCTTCCCCCTGCAAATCTTTATTTTTGACATCATTTCTCTGCAACTTTCTCTAATGTATATTGAAAACTTTCTGCAGGGTGGCCTTTTAATTGGCAGTGCTTCTAACATTGTTGCTATTCCTTTTCATAAACTTACCATATATACTCAAGTATAAGTCTAGTTTTTCAGCACATTATTTATGCTGAAAAACCCCCACTCGACTTATACTCGAGTCAGTGTCTGTATTATGGCAACTTACATTGCCATAATACAGACCAGGACCGCCGGGCTCATTACAAGCCCGGTAGTCCTGTTGGGGGCTGGCAGAGAGCTGTTACTTACCTTTACTGCAGCTCCTGTCAGCTCCCTTCTCCTCCACTGTAAGTCTCGTGCTCTGACCCCGCAGCTCTCGCAAGACTTACAGTGGAGCTGACCGGACCGGAGGAGAAGGGAGCTGACAGGATCTGCAGGAAAGGTAAGTAACAGCTCTCTGCCAGCCCCCCTCCTACACAGCCCATCCACTGGACCACCAGGGAATGAGAGCCCCCCTCCCTGGCCAGCTAACAAGCATGAAGGGGGGACGAAAATACAAATTAAATAATAAAAAAAAAATTACAATTAAAAAAAATTAAAATATTAAAATTAAAAATAATAAAAATGCCCTCCCCCACCCAGTTCACACACTCTGCATTGTATACACACACACTCTGCATTATATACATACACACACACTCTGCATTATATACACACTCATACAAACACACACTCTGCATTCACGCAAACACACACACACACTCTGCATTATATAATGTAGAGTGTATACCCTTGACTTATCCACGAGGCATAGCATATTTCACAATTGTTGGTCATAAAACCGCACTCGACTTATACATGAGTATATATGGTATTTTTTTTTTTTTTTTTATTGAAATCTCAGAATGTTTTGTTACATTACTTTCTGTTTGTGCTGCTACTTAGCTGCATGTAATGTGCTACAGATATACTGAGGGTGAAATGGGATCAGTACTTTACATTAAGATTGCTCTGTTTTGGCATTTGTACACAGTGCAACTTGTATTTGTGCATTTTCCTTCACCATTTAAGACAACATGAAATGTGTGGAATCCTTTGTTTACAATATGGCTTTGCACAAACTTAGAGTTGCTTTGATTAGAGATGGCAGCACTTTATAGACCAATCTACTGATGATGGAGACATATTACTGAGCTAGATCAGATTTACTTTGAGCACAGTTTGTCTATCTGGTTGTATTGCTGTAGGGTGCTTGTATGTCTCCACTATAATTTGTATTTCCTTTCTTAGATTCCAGATGAAGTTTTTCTACATTTCCCAATTGGCATACTGGTTTCATGCATTTCCAGAGCTGTATTTCCAAAAAACCAAAAAAGTAAATATATTTTCAATCTCTTGTTGTTTTGAGGGGTGGGGAAAAAAGGGAGGCTCTTTGGTTTTTGTTTTTTTTATATGCATTTTGTTTATTTCGATCAGATGGCTAAAATAATTAGTTGCAGAGGGGAGGATGGGGGTATTCCCCCTCTGAAATGATTTTTACTCCATGTAATGCAATTGATGTGGTCAGCTGCCGGATCAAAACGGAGATTCCTCTGACACTAAAGGGACACTCGACTGGCCAAATAAATATAAATAAAATCCCTTTTTAGTAGATCAATCACCGATGAAAACATGCATGCTTGTAATTATGCATTTTTAATTGGAGTATATCTAAGAAGACCTTGCAAAAGCTGCAGACCTCATGTCTGCAGCCTTTAGAAGCCCTCCCCTTCTTCCCCAGCTATACTTTATGTAGCTCTCCTTTCACACTTCCAAAGGCAGGTCTTTCAAAGGCCACTGAGCTAAACTACCAGGAAAAAACAAGACCAGTTGTCTGAGTGACAGCCTGATAATTGTAACCAGGTTATTGTAGAAAAGTGCCAATTTCTATTGGAATCTGCTCCTTTTGTGAAATGGAAAAAAGCACTCGCTCTTAAAGCATTTCAACAAGCTTAAGTGCATTGGGTGCTTGGAGTGTTCCTTTAATCAAGGGATTTTGCAAAACGTGTTTTAGTAATATCTTGTAACAGTATGGTGGGATGCAAAGTTAATTTGTACCTTAAATTTTGTGGGATGAGAAAACATTTATTTTCTCCTTCAAAGTGTTTTGCTTTGTTGTATGAAGCAAATCTTGAATACATTTTAATTTAAGGTTGTAAAACAACAAAATGACATTTCTTTTGGTAAGGGTTGAATATTTAATGTTAATTACTGTAATTAAAAAACCTGTAAATATCATCTAACTTCACCATTCCTCAGCAGTCCAAGTCCTCTGCTTTGCTGTTTGTGTATTATGTTTAATGGTGATAAGGTTTGTTCTGGGTGCGTACAAGATGATGTTGATAAAAAGTTTTTTTTTTAGATGTTGCTAATGGTGACTAATAAAGAACATATTGTTTTAATGATAAATTCAAAAGAAACCTATTTTAAAAGTCCTACAACCTTGAAATGGAGGGGGAGCTCAGATAGAATTGATTTTTATTTTTTTTATTATTTATATGTAAATGTATATTCCTTATCATACTTAATTGATCTTTAAGGAAGAGCCATTTATTTTTTATTTTTTATTTATCTTCATGAGATTTCTGTTTAATATAAATCGAGTGGTATTTAACAGCTGCCCTGCTCACAAGCAAGTCCAAACATGTTTGTATGGCTCCCCTCTGCCATGTAGTGTGTAGTGAACTGAAGTACCAGGGAGTGGGGCCCATTTTAATTTTGGACGTATGGCATGTCAGGACTTAAATGTTGGCAGAAAAGTTTTAAAACTGGGGGGAGGGGGAGGATTTTCAATTGGAATGAGGAAATGGTACTATGATGCTTAACATTTAATTTCATGTAATTTTACAGGAAGATATTCCCCGTCAGCTGGTCTATATTGGTCTGTACCTATTTCACATTATTGGGGCATATGTGTTAAAGTGAGTATATTTTATTTTAGTGTGTGTGTGTGTGTGTAATTTTTTTTTAACGGAATATTTTAATTTTCATACCTTCACAAAATAGTATTATAAAACATCCTGCTTGACTCTGTTGCAAAACCTTATGATTTGTCATTCAGTCAAATCTTTATTGTAGTTTATTATGATATAGTGTGCTTTATTACCCACTTAGTCAAACGCATGTAATTTTGTGGCAATCTGTCTGTTGCGTTGTTTTCCTATCATATTAAATGGAATAGAAAATTACACAATGCTTTTTAAATGACCATTGGTGGGAATTTCAATTACCGGTACTTTTATATGAAACTGTACTTGGACTAGTTCAGATATGTATGTGATATACCAGTGTACTTTACAGTGAGGGGAAAAAAGTGTTTTTATTTAAAAAAAAAAAAAATACAAATTAGCAGGGGATCAAATACTTTTTCCCCTCACTACTGCAGCCAGTATCTTTTGAAAAGGCAGCTTAAGAGAAGAAAATATAATCCCGTTTATATGAAATCTGTGTTCTGATTAACTGCTTGATTTTAGATTTAGGATACAAATTGTAAGGAGTGTGTCTCTGCCCGTTTTGCATTGTATCTTGCTCTGTGTCTGCCTGTTTGCCTGCTTCCTGTGTGTGTGTGTGTGTGTGTCTGACTCTCCGCTTTCTGTGGAGGGAGAGAAATCAATAGCTCTTTTACACTTCTGATGTAACACTGCTGCAAACAGATTGTAATCAATCAGTGGATTGCTTTGTGGAAACTACTTTAGGAGTAACAACCCTTCTGTTTAAATAATGCTTCTCCCATAAACCATCACGGACCTTGTTGTTCTGTAGAAGCTGTCGGATACCTTTTGGCCACTGGTGTACTACACTTTCATTGACCAATATAACACAGTTTGTGTGTTTTTAGGGTTCTGTGCAATACATATATGAAGCAAAATATTAATGTAAGCTAAGGCATTTCATGCATTTGCATGGGCTCATTTCAGTTGCTCCAGATGTTGGCGTACTGTGCCTTAAACTGCCGTGCTGCACATACAAAGTCTAAATCCAGTTGTAGTAACTTGAACTTGCTTCTTAAAACGTGAATACTTAAAGTGACACTCCAGGCACTAAATTAAGTTATGGCGCCAGAAGGACCTTTGAGGCACTCTAACCACAAGGTAAATGTATGTTTCTATCAAGCCAGTTCAGTGAATGGGGAGTCAGTCACTGATTGGCTGAGTGCGTCAGAAGCCGGATTCTTCCAGGGATGGAGTGGACATCGCCACTGGAGTCAACTTTGGGGTTGAACCGTTCTAGAATGGCACCATAACATTTTCATTTAGAGTGTCCCTTTAAATATTTTGGTTCCAAATAAAGATGTATAACCCTTTTTAAGATCAATGGTGAAACATGCCATGGTCTCAAGCTGCAAGACTTCCTGCATTGAGCCCTGGTAAAGTAGATGTTTCAATAGGACCAGATATTATTTTGATTGTCATTTGTCCTGAACCTGTTAGACACTAGATTGTAATGGTTTGTTTGTGCCATGACACATACCTATCATAATCGGTCCTGTCATAGGTCATATTTTCGTAAGTTATTGCATTAGAGTTAGTTTATCACTATGCATTGCAGCTCATCATATTTATTTTATTCTTTTGCAGTCTGAATCGTTTGGGTCTTGTACTACTTGTGCTCCATTACTTCGTAGAGTTTCTTTTTCACATGTCTCGCCTCTTTTACTTCAGCAATGAGAGATACCAGAAAGGGTATGTCATATTTTTAATTACAATGAACGTTGCAAATGGAGCCAGTTCTGTTGATTTTACTGGCCGCTTTAAATAAGTGCATGACCATTCTAAATACCAAGTATAAACTGGCAGGAGTGGCATAAGGAAGAGATGTTGAAGCTGACAAGTTTTGATTTTCATTTTTCTATCTGCAGTTTCACCCTTTGGGCTGTACTCTTCGTTCTGGGTCGTCTTCTCACCCTCATCCTTTCAGTTCTGACTGTTGGATTTGGTCTTGCCAGAGCAGAGAATCAAACTTTGGAATTTGATTCTGGGAACTTCAACATTTTAGCCATCAGGTATTTACTCATTATTTATTAATATTAACCTATGTTCTGGGATTAAATGATTAAACCCATCACAAATTAATGTAAGTTTTGACTAGGGCTGCTTTGATGTGAAAAGGAAAGCTCACATTCTATTTTCTTAGTTTGTACACGAGGGCTACTATTGTAGTCCACCCTGGCGTGATATGGTGTAATGTGCATTTGTTAATATTAAAGAATAAAACGTATGGCGAATACAAGGTTATCCTGAAGTATTCTATATCAGCACAACTAAATGTTCAGATTACAGTAATTTAGCAAATACTTTAAATGCATAATTTACTTCAGTTTTGGAAGTCTTTGAAATGTGAATGCTCATTAACTTGAATGCCTGATGAGTGCATTCTAATTAGAGCTTGTTACTTTCCCTCCTGCCTCCAGATTCAGCGTGCTTGCATCAATTTGCATAACTCAGGCATTTATGATGTGGAAGTTTATTAATTTCCAGCTAAGACGATGGAGAGAGCATTCATCCCCTCAGCCGTCCTCTCACAAAAGGAAATCTGTCCCTGTTAAAGGCAAATCCTCCCGAAAGGAAAAAGGTATTTGGCACATTACTTCTCCCCCCTGCATCCAAAATTTCAATTGTTCTAAAATGCTTTATGGTATTAGTGGTAAAGTTCCAAAGGACCATTTCGTATAATGCATTTTATTTATATATAGTCTGACACTCATATGTCATTAAACCCTTGCTACAGCGCATACTAAATAAATAGCTGGTCAGATCATTACGAGCTAAGCGCTATACCCTAGAGCAGGAGTAGGCAACCTCTTGCACTCCAGACGTTGTGGACTACATCTCACAGAATGCTCTTACAGCCATAACGCAGGCAAAGCATCAGGGGAGGTGCAATTCACAACATCTGGGATGCTGATGGTTGCTTACCACTGACCTAGAGAACTGTGTTGTTTTGGCTGGAAACCTGTATCCCATAGGGTTGCTGAATAACAATATTGTATAAATGTTGGCTAAGTAGGTGTTCCTGTAAGTAGTTTTATATGCGTGAATAACTATGCATGTTTATTGGAGTTAGTATATGTTTGTTGGTGTGACTCATGCACAGGTTTCAGGAAGCATTTTGTTCTTGGGTTAGCCCTAGATATAATACTATAGAAGCAGAACACCACCATCAGAGTTAATCACTAAATTGCCAAAAACTCTTCTTGTAAAATCTAATTTTAGGGATGAGTTGGACATTTGTGTTACTTGGAGAATTGTTTAAACTCTGCTATTCTTATCAAGAATTTGCAGTTCTCTTGTGAATTTCAAATGTAAAGTCTGCTAGATTTTCAGCTAAGCTTTTTTTGGCCTAAAACTTGAAATTTCCTTTTGAATTTCTTACAAATCACAAACTGGTGAATAACCCCGTTAGTATATTTTGGAACCTTGACCCAATGCGTGCCTTCTAAAACAGAATTTTATTTAAGTTGTCCTGTTTGAGGCTGAGGTTATAACCCTACTTGCACAAATTTACTTCGGAGATATATATATATATATATATATATATATATATATATATATATATATTCATATTCTCTTTTTTTTGAGTTATTCACTGAATTTCATGACCATTACATTTTAATTTTGAATAGTCTGTTTAAAAATAATAAATAGAGGTCATTACTGCAGAGAAGAGCAGACTTGTGTTTCAGCAGCTCCTGCAGTTGTGTGGAAAATACTCCTTGAAATTTGCGGATGCAAACACAAACTCAACAAATTCTGCCCACTTAGTGTGTGGGGACACTGTGGTGTCCATGGGGATGCCTTTTGATCTACAATTTATGAAGAAATCACCTGATCACTTTTTGCGGCCTACCTGCGTGGTTGGCGTGGGAGAGGCGACCGCTCTCCTGCTGCCATGGAAGGTTGGAACCTTATATTTGGAACCTCTGGACCAGTGGACTACACTCCTCAATCTGGAAGCTATCTTTTCGGCATTTCTATCGAACCTGGCAGGGAGGTAGAAGGGCCTGCAGTAATCTCAACACTATCACTCACCTGCAGATGACCACGAGAAATCCAGCAGAGTGGAACGGTAAAGCGGGTCCTTACTTACCGAACAATCCCAGCGTTGTACAACCCGATTTTGCAGCTAAGCCCAATAATATCTCTGCTGATTTCTGGAGACGGTCGAAACACAGGGCCAGTGAGTACAGCTAGCAACGATGCAATGCCAGAGATAAACTAAATCAGCCATCTTGGTAACTCTTGCAGTGTCCCCGGCTTTGGAGAGTGAGGTGAACCTGAAAAAGGCAAAGCCGCCTGAGCCAACGCATTAAAGCTGAGGCTGAGGGCAATATCTAAGCAGATCGTCCCAAGACCTACTCTCATAGGTGAAGCCCTCACAACTACTGGTGGGCTCAACTTCAAGTCCCACTTTGAAGCTACATCTGCAGCCTGCATCCTGGCCCTTGTGCTCCAAAGTCTGCTCTGGCGAATAGATCGAATGCTATGCCCCAGAGTGGCATTGGTTGATCCAGCACTGGGACCCCTGACGACTGGCAATAGGCATCTCATAATGTTTTTACACTGCTTGCTTTCATATTATTTTCCTTTTTAAATGTCACTGACACAAGTGTTTGTTCAGTTCATACAGTTTCATAGTTGATAACCGTTAGTTAGAGATGTTGTGCCGGCGAGTCTGAAAAATAATCTAGGGATCCACTAGGTGTTCTTTTGCCTCCACTCTGTCTCAGGCATACTAACTGAATGCTTGCTTTGCTGTTCATACTGTTTAGACACATAACGTAGCTTGACTACAACTATAGTAATTTATATTATAAATTTGTGCTAAAAAATCTCAATGCCATGCAATTGTCTAATTGTGTAATCTAACATACTTGTCCTTGCTCTCTTGGCAGTGCAAGCTTGCCTGTATATATATTTTTTTTTTTTTGCACAACAAAAATAAAGAACAAAAAAAAAAAAACTAATAAATAAAACACTTCACATTTTTTCCTCCTATTTACAGAGAATGGAGTAAACGGAACAGTGACATCTAACGGAGCAGGATCTCCTCGGAGCCGTAAAGAGAAATCCTCATAAAGAAGAGTAGAAAAAAAGAGCGAAAAAGAAGCATTTTGCATCCGATGTACTTTGTTCCCAAAGAGCAGTTGCCTTGTGCTGTACAGAGCCCCACAGCACTAGAATTCTTACTGTTACAACATATAATGCAATGTGTTTCTATCAGACGGTATGTTATGAATCTTCAAACTGTACAGGGTGTTTTTATTTTCATTACTTTTAGCATTTATTGAATGCTAGGACTGTCCCAATCAAGAAATATACTGCAAAAAGACAAATGTACCTGGATCCTTAGAAAAACACATTGGTTTGTCAATTCTAAAGCAGGTTCACACAGCAGATAACTTATCCAGGACTGGTACCCGTTTTGCACTGGTGAAAATAAAAATCTAACCCCCTTGCTGCCAAATGGGCCTTGAAAGCATTCCCATCTAGCCTCCTGTCAGCATCGGATTCAAAGCCAAATGTATCAATAGAAACACCTCCCCATTTAGTTTCATTGATGGGTGGCAGGAAAAGTGCAAAATTGGAGTAATTTGAACAATTTTCATTAAAGTATTTCTCTCTCTACCCGGTTGTACAGTTCCAGCATCCTTCTCTTTTGGTATGCCAACTAATATGTTTAAAAAAAGATGTAAATGCTGTGATAAATGTATTTTCACTTCAGTTTTTTTATAAGCCAACTTTTTTCTTATTTGATTAAAAGAATAAAACCTAAAAATTGAATTGTGCACATTTGCAACAGCAGTGGATTTTTTTTTTTTTTTAACATTAATCCTGATATTTCATTTTGAGAATTGGAATTACTTTTTTTTCTGCCGTTCTCAACTATCGTGGAATCTCTGCAACAATCGGCATAGTCTATTAATATAACTTAAGTGCTTCTGCCATACATTGCTTGGTGCCACTCATAAGGGAGTACATTGCAATCTGTATATTTGGTAATTAGATATACAAAATACTCCCATAATTTGGTGGGGGTGGGGGCGGGGGCTTGCATACAGCAATCCCTTTTAGTTTTAGATAGTTTTAATGGTGGTGGAAATAAGTCAGGTACATTTTTTCCTTTTAAGTTTTACATTAACTTGTGATTTTACTAGCACATTGTATCGCTTAAATTTCCACTTATCTGAAGTTGAACTTATCATGCACACATTGGTGGGTGACAAGTTCAGTTTAATTTAAACATTTCTAATACTAAGTGAGGGAGCCTGCTAATGTGTGGTGGTAGTGTGTAGATTTTATGAATCCTGTTAACAGTTCATAAATTGGCAAATGAAGTTCAGGAATGGTTGTCCTTAGTAATTGCTTTCTTTGGCACTGCAGATGTTTGTGATGGGCAATGCCAACGTTAGCCATCACTAACTTGTTCTGCTTCTTCTTATGGATTTTGCCACACAATATAGTAGTAATTCTTTTTGTTTTGCTTTGGTTTAATTTAATTAATGATTGTAAAGCCTGGAGATGTGGTCCTCTGCATACAGCATCTATATTTTTCGATACAAATAACATATATATTTATATATTTGCTAAAGAAAGCCTTAAAACGCCTGCTCAGTATGTCTGGTATTTGCTGTAAAAAAATTTTTTATTTTTTTATTTTTCAACATTCATTGATTTGATTTAGACAATGTTGTCATCGGATATCTAATTTCAGGACCAGTTTGTAAATGTTAATCTGCTGAAATAAGTAAAACATTTTGTTCAATTAGTTTTACGATGTATGTTTCGTTCACTCTAGAAGCTTCCATCACATTTTGTAGGCACGGATTAGAACCGATGTTAAGCATTTATAAGACAAACCTCACAAATGATTTGAAGTGATTTAAGCCTGTCACTGTAAAGTGAATTTAAGTAGAAAATGCATACCCTTTATGTGAAGCATGGCATGCACTGCCATCGTATGAAGTTGGCACGAAACTGCTAATTTGCGATTATGGGATCCTTAAACCACAAATGTCAATTTAAAAAAACAAAACAAACAAAAAATCAGTTTCTGAATTCTCTTAACTTTAAGTGTTCATTCTACCTTGGTGATTTGGCAGCGTCTGGGAAAAAAAGTGTATCAAGAAAAAATTATCAGATTGTTTGTGACAAAGTAGTATTTGACAATGAAACTCCCTTGAGTAATTTTTATTTAATTTTTTTGGTGATATTTGGTTTTTGAAGTTCCTTCATTTGGTGCACATTTTCTTCAATGAGCTCTTCATAGACAAGCAAATGAATTGGCCAATCTGATGACTGTATCAAGGGTTTCTGGGAGCTGTTATCAATCGCCTTTTAAGTAGTGATAGCACATGCATCCGTATTTCTGGAGCAGAAAAGGGAAGGCCTACAGGTTCAGAGAGAGGGGCAGAAAGGGTGGGAATATGGAAAGAAACTACAACCACAAAAGACAAAAGTCAAAACACCAAGCATAACCCTAGACTTTGGACCTAATCTATTCAAGTACCTAGAGTTCCCCTTTAACTCCATTGGTAGTTGTTTCGCCGGTTTCCCTTCCATGTTCCAAGTTTATCTAGAAGTTTTATTTTGGAGTCTCTACAGAAACGCTACGAATACCTATACCGAATGGAAAATTATTTATTTTCACTTTAAGGAAAATTCTCATTCAACAGTCATTTTCTTATTAAAAATGTAGTCTAGCCTCACTGTGCATTATTTTCTAATGAATGTTAACTTTTCGGGGCAGCTTTTTTTTTTTTTTTAATCAGAAGCACCACTTATCTAAGATCATGTACCATTTGAAAGTCTACCATACATTTTTCAGATGCCCAGCACTTACACATGATATTTTGGATTCAGGAATGCATCCTAACTGTTACATGCACGGAACTGGGTAAGATAAGCCATGCTTCTTGCGCAACAGCAAAACTACAAAGAATAATAGTCAGGGAACGAAGCACTGTAAATTAACGTTTAAAGGACCACTATAGGCACTCAGACCACTTCAGCTTAATGAAGTGGTCTGGGTGCCAGGTCCAGCTAGGGGTAACTTTTTTTTTTTTTTTTTTTATTAAATAGTTTCAGAGAAACTGCTATGTTTATAAATGGGTTAATCCAGCCTCTAGTGGCTGTCTCATTGACAGCCGCTAGAGGGCTTCCGCGTTTCTCACTGTGAAAATCACAGTGAGAAGACGTCAGCGTCCATAGGAAAGCATTGTGAATGCTTTCCTATGGACTGGCTGAATGCGTGCACAGCTCTTGCCGCGCATGCACATTCAGCCGAGGAGGAGAGCTCACCGCCCGGCGCTGGAGAAAGAGGTAAGTTTAACCCCTTCCTCTCCATCCAGCCCGGCGGGAGGGGGACCCTGAGGGTGGGGGCACCATCAGGGCACTATAGTAACAGGAAAACAAGTGTATTCTATTTGTTGAGGTAGTGGGCACTGTATTAGAGTGGAGGGAGAGGGAGTGTATTAGATTGGGTCTGCATGGAGGCACTGAACACTTCCAATGGAGATGCTGACTGGCTGCACAGCTTTTTGCCACACATAGGAAAGCATTGGACAGTGATGGCAAACCTTTTTGAGCCAGACTGCAATACATGCCAACTTTTTTCCCTCAAAGTGCCAACATTGCAATTAAGCCTGAAAACTGAGGTTTAAGTTTAGAAAAAAAAATTACTCGTACAGATGTCCGAACTAATGAACCTCTTTTGTTTTAAAAGAACACCACAACAGAGAGTTCAATGATACAAATTTTAAATGATACTAATAAATAAGCTTAATTTTATCTATTTATATCTACAACAAATGCAATACATACATTTAGACTGCTGAATACACATCTCCCTCTTTCTCTGTGTGTGTGTGTGTGTTTTAAAGAAACATAATTTAAAAAAAAAAAATATATATATATATCTATATCTTAACTTCTTACCTTTGGTAAGACTTCAAAGCAGAGTAGGCACCTGCTGTTTGGGCAGGCAGGTGCCTACTCTGCATGGTTGCTGACCGGTATAACCGGCCCAACTGCCCCCTTCCCCAGCGACCTATGACCGCGTGCCCACAGAGAGGGCCCGGCGTGCCACAAGTTAACCGTCACTGGTATAGACTGGTATGCCTTGGTGCAATCTCCCATATTATGAAATATGTATAGAAAAGTAAGAGATGCACTCTCAGGTCTTTCCCAAAAAAATCAATTTGTGTTTATTCAATAAAGGTGTTACATCATCTGACCGACATTTCGACCCGTTCGGGTCTTCCTCAAGATACATAAATTGATTTTTTTTGGAAAGACCGGAGAGTGCATCTCTTACCTTTCTCTTTTTTTTTTTTTTTTCTCTCCCTCTCTCCACTTATGCTGCAATGCATTATACACTCTACATGCACTATACACATATATACACCATTTATCCTGTGTATTATATATACAATCTGCAATGTATAGAGATATACAATATACCAATTCTCTCCGACTAAAATTATCGCTACAGATGAAGCAATCAAATGCTTCTCCATTAAGCTGTAGTGGTCCTGGTGTGTGCCTGGAACATTCTTTCCAGAGTCGTACTGTTTGTGCGTCCACAAATTTTGTTATGTATTTCCGTCCATTTAAAGCTGTAGTGGAGTCCTTTATTTTGTGAGATTTTCTTTGGCTGTGGTTCTGGTGGCTCCTTCTGGTATTGCTGATCCATTTGTCATTTTTTTCCTCATATCCTAGCTTTTATTTTTTTCTCCTTTTTTTTTTTTTCTTCAGTTGTCCAGTTGTTTAGATATGAAATCTCCATTCCATTCACCAAAATGTATCCCTAATTCAAAAGAATAAAAAAAAATAAAAAAATTGCTCTTTGCTATCATGGAAAATATGTCTATCTATCTATATGCATTATATGCTTACCGTAACTGTGCACATTATACGTATTATGTAACTATGCAACACTATATTATAAATACTGTTTACACACACACTGTATACATATATAATATATAAATCTTATATGCTAATGATTTACTCTAGTCATATACTCGATATCAAAACTCTACACAAGCTCTGTACATTGTATGTACTCTATATGTATATGTAGATTAAACACTCTATGTATACCTATTATGCTTAAATGCACTTTACACATATATACACTATATATCCTCTGTATTCTATATACAATCTGCAATGTACACAGGTATACACCGAATATACAATATATATATATATATATATATACACACACACATACTACATTCAATAGTTATATACTCTATATATACTTGTTATGTTTAAATGCACTATACACTCTACATACACGATATACATCTATACATATATACACCATATATCCTGTGTATTCTATATACAATCTGCTATGTACACAGGTATACACCGAATATACAATATATATATATATATATATACTACATTTCATAGTTATACACTCTATATGTACTAGTTATGCTGAAATGCATTATACACTCTACATGCACTTTACACATATATACACCATATATCCTGTGTATTCTATATACAATCTGCAATGTACACAGGTATACACCGAATATACAATATATATACTACATTCAATAGTTATATACACTTGTTATTCTTAAATGCACTATACGCTCTACATGCACTACATACATATACACACCATACATCCTGTGTATTCTATTTACAATCTGCAATATATAGAGGTATACACCGAATATACAATATATATATATATATATATATATATATATATATATATATATATATATACACTACATTCAATAGTTATATACTCTGTATATACTTCTTATGCTTAAATGTCCTATACACTCTACATGCACTACATACATATATACAACATATATCCTGTGTATTCTATATACAATCTGCAATGTACACAGGTATACACCGAATATACAATATATATACTACATTCAATAGTTACACACGCTATATATACTTGTTATGCTTAAATGCATTATACACTCTACATACACTATATACATCTGTACATATATACACCATATATCCTGTGTATTCTATATACAATATGAAATGTACAAAGGTATACACCTAACATACAATACATATATACTACATTCAATAGTTATATGCTCTATATATACTTGTTATGCTTAAATGTCCTATACACTCTACATGCACTTTACACATATATACACCATATATCCTGTGTATTCTATATACAATCTGCAATGTACACAGGTATACACCGAATATACAATATATATATATACTCCATTCAATAGTTATATACTCTATATGTACTTGTTATGCTTAAATGTCCTAAACACTCTATATGCACTACATACATATATACACCATATATCTTGTGTATTCTGTATACAATCTGCAATGTATAGAGGTATACACCGAATATACAATATATATACTACATTCAATAGTTACGTACGCTATATATACTTGTTATGCTTAAATGCATTATACACTCTACATACACTATATACATCTGTACATATATACACCATATATCCTGTGTATTCTATATACAATATGAAATGTACACAGGTATACACCGAATATACAATATATATACTACATTCAATAGTTACATACGCTATATATACTTGTTATGCTGCAATGCATTATACACTCTACATGCACTATATACATATATACACCATATATCCGGTGTATTCTATATACAATCTGCAATGTATAGAGGTATACACCGAATATACAATATATATACTACATTCAATAGTTACGTACGCTATATATACTTATGCTTAAATGCACTATACACTCTACATACACTATATACATCTATACATATATACACCATATATCCTGTGTATTCTATATACAATCTGCAATGTACACAGGTATACACTGAATATACAATATATATATATATATATATATATATATACTCCATTCAATAGTTATATACTCTATATGTACTTGTTATGCTTAAATGTCCTAAACACTCTACATGCACTACATACATATATACACCATATATCCTGTGTATTCTATATACAATCTGCAATGTACACAGGTATACACCGAATATACAATATATATACTACATTCAATAGTTACATACGCTATATATACTTGTTATGCTGCAATGCATTATACACTCTACATGCACTATATACATATATACACCATATATCCGGTGTATTCTATATACAATCTGCAATGTATAGAGGTATACACTGATTATACAATATATATATACACTACATTTAATAGTTACATTATGTATAATATAAAGGGTGGGCCAATATTAAAAGTAGGTTTTGACAGGTAAATAACTTGTTAGTAGTTGAATTTTTCAGTTGCAGGTACATATTATAACTGAGTCTTTGTAAATTCATCGTGGGTAATTTCATGGAGTTACAACGAGTAAAAGTAGTGGAATTTAAATCTCAAAACGGCAGGTCCATTATTTTAACGCAAAGAGCTTACCACCGTTACTTCAATGTAAGCTGCCACGTTTGTCCATCTTTTGAGCTCCTAAATACTTCCTGGGTGGATATCTGAGGTTTTTGATGTATATAAACAAACCGCGTACACTTGAGCAGATCAAGGAGAATATTCGTGCATAAATTCGAGCCTCAAACATTAGCTTTTGTTATGAACAATGCAATCGAAAGCGTCCGACTTTGCGAGGCGGTAAATGGAACTGATTTAAAAGATGTCATCTTCCGTACATAGTCAGGCAAATCTTCATACGCTGAGCATTCATTGTTTGTAATATCATTGAAATTGGTTCATTCAAAAAAAGTTATTCACCCCTCAAACCTTACTCTGAATTTGGCAGAGTTTAAACTATGTATACAATGAAAATACATAAATGCACTATATACTCTACACTATATAAATATTTCTTAAACACACATATATACACTTTTAACACTATTGACTTTAGGTATTTATACACTTTATATTTTATAAATATATATATACACTGTAGATTAACTTTATACATATTTACTATATAAACAGTATTCACTATACACACATACATAATTCTATATAATTATATTCTCCATATAGCAAGGCAGTAAGGAAAGTCTGCATTATTTTCTTAATTAAGAAGGTGGGAAATACCGACAATGCACTTTCCTTACCTTCTCTTATTAATCTTTCATGCATCCTGAACGCACTTAAGCTCTTCATTTATCAGACCATCTTGAAAATAGATCCACGTAATATCCTTCCCCTTCTTCTTGATCCTCCAGTCTCTCTTTGGCCCAGATTTTGATGAACATGTAGGACCCTCGGATTGGTGTTTTTAAACATTTCATCTAGCCTGGTTTTAGGTTGTCCTCCTTGGACCGTGAACACCAGCTGTAAACAAAACAACTCTAGTTGAGCCTTCTGATGTTGCTATGACTACTTTTGGTGTCATATCAGTGGATATAAATGATGTCATAAACAGTTTTGTGTTGTGCAGGGAAAGTCAATGCTACATGGTCAAGCATGCAAAATGTGCATTCTATTAACAGTCACTCACCCAATCAATCTGCAATGAATGATATCAATGTAGCAATGATTGATAGATTCCTAAATGTATCCCAAGGACTGATTTCATATCAAACGAGTTTTGTTTTTTTTCGTTTTGTTTTTTTACTACAGTAGTAGTGTTTCAAATTCATCTAAATAAATACTGGTTCTTACATTTATACTGGGATTAGACTATACCTTTAACTACTCTGCCAGAATATAATGTGACCCTACAATTGTGCCATCCAAGAAACTCCCCACCAGATATACATTAACATTAATATGAGGTCAAAACCTACAAAATGTACTTAAAGAAACACTCTAACATTAAGGAGACAAACATTTTTCTCACTATTTAGATTTATCCCCATCCCCCCTACCCTAAAAAAAAAACTTTAAATTTCAAAAGAAATTAGATTGTCTTAGCTTTAGTTCCATAATGTGACGGTTTCTGTTTTCACCGCAGATGCCAATTCTCTCCGGCTAAAATTATCTTTACAGATGAAGCAATCAAATGCTTCTCCATTAAGCTGTAGTGGTTCTGGTGCTTACAGTGTCCCTTTAAATTGGTTTGTTGCCCTACTTGTGCCTGGAACGTTCTTTCCAGAGTCGTACTGTTGTTTGTGCGTCAACAAATTTAGTGATGTATTTCAGTCCATTTAAAGCTGTAGTGGAGTCCTTTATTTTGCGAGATTTTCTTTGGCTGTGGTTCTGGTGGCTCCTTCTGGTATTGCTGATCCGTTTGTCATTTATTTCCTCATATCCTGGCTTTTATTTTTTTTCTTCAGTTGTCCAGTTGTTTGGATATGAAATCTCCATTCCATTCACCAAAATGTATCCCTAATTCAAAAGAATTTAAAAAAAAAAAAAAAAAATTGCTCTTTGCTATCATGGAAAATATGTCTATCTATCTATATGCATTAAATACTTACCGTAACTGTGCACATAATACGTATTATATAACTATGCAACACTATATTATAAATACTGTTTACACATACACACTGTATACATATATAATATATAAATGTTATATGCTAATGATTTACTCTAGTCATATACTCGATATCAAAACTCTACACAAGCTCTATACATTGTATGTACTCTATACTCTATATGTATATGTAGATTAAATACTCTATGTATACCGGTTATGCTTAAATGCACTTTACACATATATACACTATATATCCTTTGTATTCTATATACAATCTGCAATGTACACAGGTATACACTGAATATACAATATATATATACTACATTCAATAGTCATATACTCTATATATACTTGTTATGTTTAAATGCACTATACACTCTACATACACGATATACATCTATACATATATACACCATATATCCTGTGTATTCTATATACAATCTGCAATGTACACAGGTATACACTGAATATACAATATATATATACTACATTCAATAGCCATATACTCTATATATACTTGTTATGTTTAAATGCACTATACACTCTACATACACGATATACATCTATACACCATATATCCTGTGTATTCTATATACAATCTGCAATGTACACAGGTATACACCGAATATACAATATATATACATACTACATTCATTACTTACATACGCTAAATATACTTGTTATGCTTAAATGCATTATACACTCTACATACACTATATACATTTGTACATATATACACCATATATCCTGTGTATTCTATATACAATATGAAATGTACAAAGGTATACACCTAACATACAATATATATATATACACTACATTCAATAGTTATATACTCTATATATACTTGTTATTCTTAAATGCACTATACGCTCTACATGCACTACATACATATATACACCATACATCCTGTGTATTCTATTTACAATCTGCAATGTATAGAGGTATACACCCAATATATATATATATATATATATATATATATATATATATATACTACAATCAATAGTTATATACTCTGTATATACTTCATATGCTTAAATGTCCTATACACTCTACATGCACTTTACACATATATACACCATATATCCTGTGTATTCTATATACAATCTGCAATGTACACCGGTATACACCGAATATACAATATATATACAACATTCAATAGTTACATACGCTATATATACTTGTTATGCTTAAATGCACTATACACTCTACATACACTATATACATCTATACATATATACACCATATATCCGGTGTATTCTATATACAATCTGCAATGTATAGAGGTATACACTGAATATACAATATATATATATATACTACATTTAATAGTTACATTATGTATAATATAAATGGTGGGCCAATATTAAGAGTAGGTTTTGACAGGTAAATAACTTGTTAGTAGTTGAATTTTTCAGTTGCAGGTACATATTATAACTGAGTCTTTGTAAATTCATCGTGGGTAATTTCATGGAGTTACGAGTGAAAGTAGTGGAATTTAAATCTCAAAACGGCAGGTCCATTATTTTAACGCAAAGAGCTTACCACCGGCACTTCAATGTAAGCTGCCACGTTTGTCCATCTTTTGAGCTCCTAAATACTTCCTGGGTGGATATCTGAGGTTTTTGATGTATATAAACAAACCGCGTACACTTGAGCAGATCAAGGAGAATATTCGTGCATAAATTCGAGCCTCAAACATTAGCTTTTGTTATGAACAATGCAATCGAAAGCGTCCGACTTTGCAAGGCGGTAAATGGAACTGATTTAAAAGATGTCATCTTCCGTACATAGTCAGGCAAATCTTCATACGCTGAGCATTCATTGTTTGTAATATCATTGAAATTGGTTCATTCATAAAAAAAGTTATTCACCCCTCAAACCCTACTCTGAATTTGGCAGACATTAAACTTTATATACAATCAAAATACATAAATGCACTATATACTCTACACTATATAAATATTTCTTAAACACACATATATACACTTTTAACACTATTGACTTTAGGTATTTATACACTTTATATTTTATAAATATATATATACACTGTAGATTAACTTTATACATATTTACTATATAAACAGTATTCACTATACACACATACATAATTCTATATAATTATATTCTCCATATAGCAAGGCAGTAAGGAAAGTCTGCATTATTTTCTTAATTAAGAAGGTGGGAAATGCCCACAATGCACTTTCCTTACCTTCTCTTATTAATCTTTCCTGCATCCTGAACGCACTTAAGCTCTTCATAAATCAGACCATCTTGAAAATGGATCCACGTAATATCCTTCCCCTTCTTCTTGATCCTCCAGTCTCTCTTTGGCCCAGATTTTGATGAACATGTAGGACCCTTAGATTGGTGTTTTTAAACATTTCATCTAGCCTGGTTTTAGGTTGTCCTCCTTGGCCCTTGACACCAGCTGTAAACAAGACAACTCTAGTTGAGTTGAGTATTCTGATGTTGCTATGACTACTTTTGGTGTCATATCAGTGGATATAAATGATGTCATAAACAGTTTTGTGTTGTACAGGGAAAGTCAATGCTACATGTGTGCAGGTAGTGGTTATTGTGTGGTGCTACCCGTTATACCCACAAACCCGCTCTCCCCCCCCCTCCCCTTTCCTCCACCAATTAAGACAAAGAAACATAAATGTGGTATAAACAGGCTACAGCTTTATTTATTTATAAATAACAAGCATAAATATTGTAGCGGAATGCCAATATTAAATCCACGAATTCCGCTGGTCCAGAAACGAATCCACAGTCAAGCGCTGAAAACACCAAGGCAATATCCCCAACCTCCCAATAACCGGACGAGACACAGTTTTGGGAGTCAACTGAAATCCTTTAATCGGCACGACAATTTATACAAGTCCCCATGCAAGGGGTTTCCTGAGTCCCTCCCAGGGGCACTCCCAGAGGGGACTACATGGGGGACTTACAGTACAACATATTTCTCCCATCAGGCACTGCTGCACGAGAGGGATCATCCTCCCAGAATGCACCGTTAAGGGGATTATCCCCTCGTGCAGCAGAACCGGCAATTCACACAAAAATCTACAACTTTTACAATACACGGTGGATTTACACGAATGGACGTTCGGTAGATAGCTGGGGTCTGGGCGCATCATTCGTGAGATTGCCGCTCAGATCCCAGCTAAAATAACCGAACGCCGCACAGAAAACACATTTCTTTCAAAACACACGAAAAGAACCGATTACTTTTAGTGAACCTGGTCCTGAAACTCCCGAACGTCCTGGAGGCTCAGCGGTGTTCGTGCCGTCGAATAACTATTGGTAATGCTATGCGTTCGACAACACGGACCCGCTGAAGAACAAGGGATCCAAGATGGCCGACCGCCGCATGGTCGGTAGTCGAACGACGGCCACCCAGGAGAGCCTCTAATTACCGATTGCAACATTGTTGCAATCGGTTAACTAGCGCCACACGCCTCTAAGTGTGTGGGCTATTAGGGGGTATCGCGTTCGCTTCACGAACGGCCCTCCAAAGTGCCGTTCGCGAAACGAACGAGAATCCCCATACAAACCGCCATTGGCATTCGGCGGAACAGGTAATTACAGTCTCCACAGAAATACATCAAGCACGCACATAAGAATAAACCGCATATCTCCCCAGACCTGTAGGCAACCCTTAAAGGCACAGTCTCTAGTTATTGTCCAAGTGGCTAGGTTTGCCACAATGCTCCCCCAGAACCAAGCCGGCATACACAGTCTGATCCCAACGGATCGGCTTGGGGATGTCCGGAGGAGTGCTCACAGATCATTTCTCAAGGTCTGTTTGTCTGGACAACCCGTCGGCATTACCGTTTTGTTTCCCTGGGCGGTAGTGAATTGTAAAGTCAAAGGGCTGCAGCGCCAAACTCCAGCGCAGCAGCCTGGCATTGTCTCCAGCCACACGGTTTAGCCACACCAACGGGTTGTGATCTGTGAGCAAAGAAAAGGGTTGCCCATAGAGATACGGCTGTAGCTTTTTCAGGGCCCACACCACGGCCAGGCATTCCTTTTCTATGGCGGCGTAGCTCACCTCTCGGGGTAACAGTTTCCGACTCAAGTATGCTACGGGGTGTTCTCCGCCATCGGCTCCGACCTGGCTCAGTACTGCTCCCAATCCAAACATTGAGGCGTCTGTGTGAACAAGAAAACGTTTAGTTGGATCAGGAGCAGCCAGTACAGGGGCATTGGTCAGAGCCGTCTTCAGCTGATTGAATGCCTGTTCACACTCTGGGGCCCAGACGACCTGCCGGGGCAGGTTTTTCTTCGTCAAATCAGTCAGGGGTTTGGCCAGGGCACTGTAGTTGGGTACAAATTTTCTGTAGTACCCTGCGGTACCTAGGAAAGCCAGGACTTGGGTTTTGGTCCTAGGGGTAGGCCACTGGGCTACAGCTTCAATCTTTGCGGGCTCAGGCTTCTGCTGCCCGCTACCAACCCGGTGTCCTAAGTACTGGACCTCTGCCATCCCTATGTGGCATTTGCTGGGTTTCAAGGTAAGCCCTGCCTCTCGGATCCGATCTATTACTGCCCCTATGTGTTGTAGGTGCTCCGACCAGGTCTGACTGTATATGGCAATATCGTCCAGATATGCACACGCATAGTCCTGGAACCCGTCCAGTAGCCGATCCACCATCCGCTGGAAGGTCGCGGGGGCGTTCTTCATCCCGAATGGCATGACTCGAAATTGGTACAAGCCAAACGGGGTGACAAACGCCGACTTAGGGATGGCGTCCTCGGCTAGTGGAATTTGCCAGTATCCCTTACACAAATCTATGGTAGTGAGATACTGACCCCTGGCCATCTTATCAAGCAGTTCGTCTATCCGAGGCATCGGGTAGGCGTCCGACACAGTTTTGTCGTTCAACCTCCGGTAGTCCACGCAGAACCGGGTGGTACCATCTTTCTTGGGAACCAGAACTACCGGCGATGCCCAGGGGCTATCGCAGTGCTCAATAACCCCCAACTGCAACATCTCTTCAATTTCTTTTCTCATATGTTCCCGCACGGATTCGGGAATCCGATAGGGAGTCTGTCGCATGGGAAGCTGTCCCGGGGTTTCTACTCGGTGGGTGGCTAGTGGAGTGTACCCAGGTAGGTTAGAAAAGGCGGCGCCCTTGGTTGCTATCAGTTCTTGTACCTGGATACGCTCTTGAGGACTTAGCCGCTCCCCCAGTTGAACCCCCTGGGAGGGTTCCTTCTGCTCCTCCTGCTCTAACAGATCTGGAAGGGGCAGGTTCTCCTGATCTTCGGAGGCGGGCGTGCAAATAGCTGCCACGTCCTCCGTCCGCTCGTGGTAGGGTTTGAGCATGTTCACATGGAGCATGCGTCTCTTCCCTACTCCGGAGCATGGGCCGATCACATAGGTGGTATCGCATCTCTGCTCTACCACCTGGTATGGGCCCTGCCAGACGGCCTGCAGTTTATCGGTGCGGACAGGTTTAAGGATTAGCACCTTCTGTCCCACTTGAAAACTACGGTCTCTGGCCCCCTTGTCATACCAACGACGCTGTCGTTGTTGGGCGGCCTGGAGGTTGGTGCGCACTGCCTGGGTCAATTCCTCCAGGCGATCCCGGAACGCCAGCACGTAGGGTACAATTGGGGTCCCATCTGCGCTACTCTCCCCCTCCCAATGCTCTCTAATGAGATCCAACGGCCCCCGGACCCTTCTCCCAAACAATAGCTCAAATGGGGAGAAACCTGTGGACTCTTGGGGTACCTCTCTGTATGCAAACAACAGATGGGGAAGGAATCGTTCCCAGTCCTTATGGGTCTCTCCGAATGTCCGGAGCATCTGTTTTAGGGTGCCGTTGAATCTCTCACATAATCCATTGGATTGCGGGTGGTAGGCGGAGTTAATGATCGGCTTAATGCCACATATCCTCCATAACTGCTGAGTAACCTCAGCCGTGAATTGCGTCCCCCTATCGGAGACCATTTCCTGTGGGAACCCTACTCGGGAGAATATTTTCATCAAGGCTTCGGCTACGGTCTCGGCGTGTATATTAGTTAGGGCAATCGCCTCGGGGTACCGGGTGGCGTAATCCACCACGGTCAGGATATACCGTTTCCCAGAAGGGCTGGGTTTTGGTAGTGGCCCTACTATATCCACTGCCACACGGCTGAATGGTTCCTCAATGATAGGTAGGGGACACAGTTTTGCCTTGTGGCGGTCCCCCCTCTTGCCTACCCTCTGGCACACATCACAGGAGGTACAATATTGCCTCACGTCTTTAGAAATCCCGGGCCAAAAGAATGCGTGCGTTAAGCGATACCGGGTCCGGGTCATCCCTAGATGGCCGGACAGAGGGATATCATGGGCGATTCTTAGTAACTCCTGCCTATACTTCTGGGGCACTACTAACTGCTTGGTTTGGAGCGTCACCGAGTTGCCTATTGCCCTTTCCGCCACCCGGTATAGTAACTTCTTCTCCCACCTGTACTGTTCTCCCTCCCGCCCCACCTGGTCCGTATCTACCCTATCTCGGTATACCTGCAGTGTGGGGTCTGTCTGCACCTCTACTTCAAACGTGGACGGGGTGTCCCAAGTCATGTCTGTCAAGGGGGGGTCATGATTTCTTACCTGAGCCTCAGAGTGTGCGGGGAATGCCGTGGTGCGAGCCTGTTGCCGGGTGGTTACCGGATGCGCCTCTTGTGACGGGGCCTGGGGTAGAAAAGCAGAAGTCATCTGGCCCAAGTCATTCCCCAAAACAACATCGGCCGGTAGCTTTTTCATTATGGCCACTTCCACAACCCCCTCCCCAGCACCCCAATTCAAATGCACCTTGGCCGTGGGTAACCGGTACATGGCTCCCCCTGCTACCCGGACTGCCACTGATCCGCCAGTGTGGGCCGTATCTGGAATTAAATGGGGGGCCACTAAGGTTAAGGTGGCTCCCGAGTCCCGCAGCCCCTGCACTTCTTTCCCTCCCACAAACACAACTTGGCGGTGATGCTGCCGGTTGTCCGTGGCTTGCACAGACATTACCTCGTACAGAACCCCCAATGGTTCCTCGGTTGGTATACTTGTCAGCTCCGAATGGTCAGGTTCTGCGTGGTAGAAATGGGCCGCCGCCCTGGGAACGGAATTCTGCCGTACCTGGTTCCACGCCTGCCTGCTACGATTCTGGGTGCACTCCCGGGACATATGCCCCCACTGCCGGCAGGTATGGCATTGTATGTTGGCCCTGCCATTGTAGCGGGCTGGCGGTGGGGGGTTTCCGGGTGGTGGCCTGAATGGGGATGGGTTGGCGGGTGTGGAGCTGGCTGGGTGGTGTTGTATTGGCGGTCTTAGGGGACCCCTGTTGGTGAGCCCATGGTGTCTCCGGGCATCAAAGTGTTCGTCTGCCAATCGGGCGGCTGCTGTGAGGTTGAGAGGTTTTCGGTCCCTTACCCACTCCTGTGCCTCTGGTGACAGACCGTTGAAGAATTGCTCCAGCAAGATGAGTTGGCGCAGTTCCTCCATGGTGGTGGCTTGACTTGCCTGAATCCACCCTTGTGAAGCTTGGTCCAGCTTATGCGCCCATTCTGCGTGGGAATCTCTTTCGGGCTTTTTCAATCCCCGAAATTTCCGTCGGTATGCCTCTGGGGTTATGGCATATCTTTCTAGGATTGCTCTTTTTACTTTAAAGTAGTCTTTGCTGTCCTCTCTGGGCACAGCGCGGTAAGCCTCTGCTGCTCGTCCCGCCAACTTGCCTGCCAGTAAGGGTACCCACATTGCCGGTTCCAGATCGTGCAGGTCGCATAGCCTCTCGAAATCCTGCAGATATCCGTCTATCTCATCCTTCTCCTCGCAGAATGCTTTAAATGCCTGGTACGGTATTTTCTGCTTTGTTGGAGGGCAGAATGAGTTGACGATGGATTCCGCCCTGGATGGTGACCTCTGGGGTTGCTGTGCCATAATGTAGTCCTGGACGTCGGCCATTAGCACGGTTAAGATGTCCAGGGTTACTGGCTGTGGTACAAATTCCAGCCGGGTTCTCAGTTCCCTCTGGTATGGTGTTTCCTCTCTGGCAGGTGGGGGTGGACTGCTGTGTGCCTGGTCGCCCTCCATTAGCTCTGCAATCAGTACTGCCTTCGATTTGTTGCTAGCGCTTTTCCCTCTAGCCTCCAGCAGTTCCTTTAGCGTCTGTCTCTTTAACGCCGTGTAATCAGTCCCCATTCACTGATCGCTTTCGTCTGCTTGTTTCATACGAATTGCCTTTCCGTTCGGTTGTTCCTTTCATTCGAATGCGCTGTATTCGGCTGTAGAGTTGGATCCCGTCGCTTGCCACCAATTGTAGCGGAATGCCAATATTAAATCCACGAATTCCGCTGGTCCAGAAACAAATCCACAGTCAAGCGCTGAAAACACCAAGGCAATATCCCCAACCTCCCAATAACCGGACGAGACACAGTTTTGGGAGTCAACTGAAATCCTTTAATCGGCACGACAATTTATACAAGTCCCCATGCAAGGGGTTTCCTGAGTCCCTCCCCAGGGGCACTCCCAGAGGGGACTACATGGGGGACTTACAGTACAACATATTTCTCCCATCAGGCACCGCTGCACGAGAGGGATCATCCTCCCAGAATGCACCGTTAAGGGGATTATCCCCTCGTGCAGCAGAACCGGCAATTCACACAAAAATCTACAACTTTTACAATACACGGTGGATTTACACGAATGGACGTTCGGTAGATAGCTGGGGTCTGGGCGCATCATTCGTGAGATTGCCGCTCAGATCCCAGCTAAAATAACCGAACGCCGCACAGAAAACACATTTCTTTCAAAACACACGAAAAGAACCGATTACTTTTAGTGAACCTGGTCCTGAAACTCCCGAACGTCCTGGAGGCTCAGCGGTGTTCGTGCCGTCGAATAACTATTGGTAATGCTATGCGTTCGACAACACGGACCCGCTGAAGAACAAGGGATCCAAGATGGCCGACCGCCGCATGGTCGGTAGTCGAACGACGGCCACCCAGGAGAGCCTCTAATTACCGATTGCAACATTGTTGCAATCGGTTAACTAGCGCCACACGCCTCTAAGTGTGTGGGCTATTAGGGGGTATCGCGTTCGCTTGAAACAAACGGCCCTCCAAAGTGCCGTTCGCGAAACGAACGGGAATCCCCATACAAACCGCCATTGGCATTCGGCGAAACAGGTAATTACAGTCTCCACAGAAAATACATCAAGCACATACATAAGAATAAAGCGCATATCTCCCCAGACCTGTAGGCAACCCTTAAAGGCACAGTCTCTAGTTATTGTCCAAGTGGCTAGGTTTGCCACAAATATATCAATATTAACTATCCTTTAATTAACTGAAACTCGTCCTTGCCAACCGGACCAAACAACTCTAGAGTACCCCCTTTTGGGGGCCTGCCCTCCCCCCTCGTCCGAAATAACTGGCCTACACCTTGGCCTTCCAATACCCCATGCCAACCCCTGGCCGCCTTTCCTGGCACGGAGGGCACGCCCAATTACCAAATATTTTCCGAGGTTAGGGGAGGGACCAGACCCAGCATTCCTTCTTCCAGTGTACTCCTTTCCCAACTGGTTCGGCAAGGACCATACCCGCCAGCTGTGACAAGAAAGAGAATTAGTAATACGCAGTGAAAACAAACAGCAAAGGGTGGGAGGGAGGGAAGATGTTACCAGCCGTTATTTCTAAGATGGCTGAGGTAAGGGGACAAAATGACTGCTCTTTATATGACCCCACCCCACCCCTAACCTAAGTGACACCCCCACTTATGACACCTACACTCACCACACCCACACATGCCTCCTATCCGGCTAGCTTTCAGCCCGCCTCCTCTGGGCCTGTGTCAAGCATGCAAAATGTGCATTCTATTAACAGTCACTCACCCAATCAATCTGCAGTGAATGATATCAATGTAGCATTGATTGATAGATTCCTAAATGTATCCCAAGTACTGATTTCATATCAAACAAGAGTTTTTTTTTTTCGTTTTGTTTTTTTATTTTTTACTACAGTAGTAGTGTTTCACATTCATCTAAATAAATACTGGTTCTTACATTTATACTGGGAATAGACTATACCTTTAAATACTCTGCCAGAATATAATGTGACCCTACAATGTTGCCATCCAAGAAACTCCCCATCAGATATACATTAACATTAATATGAGGTCAAAACCTATAAAATGTACTTAGATAAACACTCTAACATTAAGGAGACAAATATTTTTCTCACTATTTAGATTTATCCCTATCCCCCCTACCCTAAAAAAAAACTTTAAATTTCAAAAGAAATTAGATTGTCTTAGCTTTAGTTCCATAATGTGACGGTTTCTGTTTTCACCGCGGATGCCAATTCTCTCCGGCTAAAATTATCTTTACAGATGAAGCAATCAAATGCTTCTCCATTAAGCTGTAGTGGTTCTGGTGCTTACAGTGTCCCTTTAAATTGGTTTGTTGCCCTACGTGTGCCTGGAACGTTCTTTCCAGAGTCGTACTGTTGTTTGTGCGTCCACAAATTTAGTGATGTATTTCCGTCCATTTAAAGCTGTAGTGGAGTCCTTTATTTTGCGAGATTTTCTTTGGCTGTGGTTCTGGTGGCTCCTTCTGGTATTGCTGATCCATTTGTAATTTATTTCCTCACATCCTGGCTTTTATTTTTTCTCCTTTTTCTCTTCAGTTGTCCAGTTGTTTGGATATGAAATCTCCATTCCATTCACCAAAATGTATCCCTAATTGAAAAGAATTAAAAAAAAACAAATTGCTCTTTGCTATCATGGAAAATATGTCTATCTATCTATATGCATTATATGCTTACCGTAACTGTGCACATAATACGTATTATGTAACTATGCAACACTATATTATAAATACTGTTTACACATACACACTGTATACATATTTAATATATAAATCTTATATGCTAATGATTTACTCTAGTCATATACTCGATATCAAAACTCTACACAAGCTCTATGCATTGTATGTACTCTATACTCTATATGTATATGTAGATAAAATACTCTATGTATACCTGTTATGCTTAAATGCACTTTCCACATATATACACTATATATCCTGTGTATTCTATATACAATCTGCAATGTACACAGGTATACGCCGAATATACAATATATATACTACATTCAATAGTTATATACGCTATATATACTTGTTATGTTTAAATGCACTATACACTCTACATACACGATATACATCTATACCTATATACACCATATATCCTGTGTATTCTATATACAATCTGCAATGTACACAGGTATACACCGAATATACAATATATATATACTACATTCAATAGTTACATACGCTATATATACTTGTTATGCTTAAATGCACAATACACTCTATATGCACTTTACACATATATACACCATATATCCTGTGTATTCTATATACAATCTGCTATGTACACAGGTATACACCGAATATACAATATATATACATACTACATTCAATAGTTACATACGCTATATATACTTGTTATGTTATAATGCATTAAACACTCTACATACACTATATATATCTGTACATATATACACCATATATCCTGTGTATTCTATATACAATCTGCAATGTACAAAGGTATACACCTAACATACAATATATATACTACATTCAATAGTTATATACTCTATATATACTTGTTATGCTTAAATGTCCTATACACTCTACATGCACTACATACATATATTCAACATATATCCTGTGTATTCTATATACAATCTGCAATGTACACAGGTATACACCGAATATACAATATATATACTACATTCAATAGTTAAATACTCTATATATACACTTGTTATTCTTAAATGCACTATACACTCTACATGCACTACATACATATACACACCATACATCCTGTGTATTCTATATACAATCTGCAATGTACACAGGTATACACCGAATATACAATATATATACTACATTCAATAGTTACATACGCTATTTATACTTGTTATGCTTAAATGCACTATACACTCTACATACACAATATGCATCTATACATATATACACCATATATCCTGTGTATTCTATATACAATCTGCAATGTACACAGGTATACACCGAATATACAATATATATACATACTACATTCAATAGTTACATACGCTATATATACTTGTTATGCTTAAATGCATTATACACTCTACATACACTATATACATCTGTACATATATACACCATATATCCTGTGTATTCTATATACAATATGAAATGTACAAAGGTATACACCTAACATACAATATATATATACTACATTCAATAGTTATATACTCTATATATACTTGTTATGCTTAAATGTCCTATACACTCTACATGCAGAACATACATATATACAACATATATCCTGTGTATTCTATATACAATATGCAATGTACACAGGTATACACCGAATATACAATATATATATACACTACATTCCATAGTTATATACTCTATATGTACTTGTTATGCTGAAATGCATATTACACTCTACATGCACTTTACACATATATACACCATATATCCTGTGTATTCTATATACAATCTGCAATGTACACAGGTATACACCGAATATACAATATATATATATATATACATACTACATTCAATAGTTACATACGCTATATATACTTGTTATGCTTAAATGCATTATACACTCTACATACACTATATATATCTGTACATATATACACCATATATCCTGTGTATTCTATATACAATCTGCAATGTACACAGGTATACACCGAATATACAATATACAATATATATATATATATATATATATATATATATATATATATACTCCATTCAATAGTTATATACCCTATATGTACTTGTTATGCTTAAATGTCCTTAACACTCTACATGCACTACATACATATATACACCATATATCTTGTGTATTCTATATACAATCTGCAATGTATAGAGGTATACACCAAATATAAAATATATATATACTACATTCAATAGTTACATACGCTATATATACTTGTTATGATGCAATGCATTATACACTCTACATGCACTATATACATATATACACCATATATCCGGTATATTCTATATACAATCTGCAATGTATAGAGGTATACACTGAATATACAATATATATATACTACATTTAATAGTTACGTTATGTATAATGTAAAGGGTGGGCCAATATTAAGAGTAGGATTTGACAGGTAAATAACTTGTTAGTAGTTGAATTTTTCAGTTGCAGGTACATATTATAACTGAGTCTTTGTAAATTCATCGTGGGTAATTTCATGGAGTTAGAATGAGTAAAAGTAGTGGAATTGAAATCTCAAAATGGCAGGTCCATTATTTTAACGCAAAGAGCTTACCACCGGCACTTCAATGTAAGCTGCCACGTTTGTCCATCTTTTGAGCTCCTAAGTACTTCCTGGGTGGATATCTGAAGTTTTTGATGTATATAAACAAACCACGTACACTTGAGCAGATCAAGGAGAATATTTGTGCATAAATTCGAGCCTCAAACATTAGCTTTTGTTATGAACAATGCAATCGAAAGCGTCCGACTTTGCGAGGCGGTAAATGGAACTGATTTAAAAGATGTCATCTTCCGTACATAGTCAGGCAAATCTTCATACGCAGAGCATTCATTGTTTGTAATATCATTGAAATTGGTTCATTCATAAAAAAAGTTATTCACCCCTCAAACCCTACTCTGAATTTGGCAGACTTTAAACTTTATATACAATCAAAATACATAAATGCACTATATACTCTACACTATATAAATATTTCTTAAACACACATATATACACTTTTAACACTATTGACTTTAGGTATTTATACACTTTATATTTTATAAATATATATATACACTGTAGATTAACTTTATACATATTTACTATATAAACAGTATTCACTATACACACATACATAATTCTATATAATTATATTCTCCATATAGCAAGGCAGTAAGGAAAGTCTGCATTATTTTCTTAATTAAGAAGGTGGGAAATACCCACAATGCACTTTCCTTACCTTCTCTTATTAATCTTTACTGCATCCTGAACACACTTAAGCTCTTCATATATCAGACCATCTTGAAAATGGATCCACGTAATATCCTTCCCCTTCTTCTTGATCCTCCAGTCTCTCTTTGGCCCAGATTTTGATGAATCTGTAGGACCCTCAGATTGGTGTTTTTAAACATTTCATCTAGCCTGGTTTTAGGTTGTCCTCCTTGGCCCTTGACACCAGCTGTAAACAAGACAACTCTAGTTGAGCCTTCTGATGTTGCTATGACTACTTTTGGTGTCATATCAGTGGATATAAATGATGTCATAAACGGTTTTGTGTTGTGCAGGGAAAGTCAATGCTACAGTGTCAAGCATGCAAAATGTGCATTCTATTAACAGTCACTCACCCAATCAATGTGCAATGAATGATATCAATGTAGCAATGATTGATAGATTCCTTAATGTATCCCAAGTACTGATTTCATATCAAACAAGAGTTTGTTTTTTTTCGTTTTGTTTTTTTATTACAGTAGTAGTGTTTCACATTCATCTAAATAAATACTGGTTCTTACATTTATACTGGGATTAGACTATACCTTTAACTACTCTGCCAGAATATAATGTGACCCTACAATTGTGCCATCCAAGAAACTCCCCACCAGATATACATTAACATTAATATGAGGCCAAAACCTATAAAATGTACTTAAAGAAACACTCTAACATTTAGGAGTCAAACATTTTTCTCACTATTTAGATTTATCCCCATCCCCCCTACCCTAAAAAAAACTTTAAATTTCAAAAGAAATAAGATTGTCTTAGCTTAAGTTCCATAATGTGACGGTTTCTGTTTTCACCGCGGATGCCAATTCTCTCCTGCTAAAATTATCTTTACAGATGAAGCAATCAAATGCTTCTCCATTAAGCTGTAGTGGTTCTGGTGCTTACAGTGTCCCTTTAAATTGGTTTGTTGCCCTACGTGTGCCTGGAACGTTCTTTCCAGAGTCGTACTGTTGTTTGTGCGTCAACAAATTTAGTGATGTATTTCCGTCCATTTAAAGCTGTAGTGGAGTCCTTTATTTTGCGAGATTTTCTTTGGCTGTGGTTCTGGTGGCTCCTTCTGGTATTGCTGATCCATTTGTCATTTATTTTCTCATATCCTGGCTTTTATTTTTTCTCCTTTTTCTCTTCAGTTGTCCAGTTGTTTGGATATGAAATCTCCATTCCATTCACCAAAATGTATCCCTAATTGAAAAGAATTAAAAAAAAAACAAATTGCTCTTTGCTATCATGGAAAATATGTCTATCTATCTATCTATCTATATGCATTATATACTTACCGTAACTGTGCACATTATACGTATTATGTAACTATGCAACACTATATTATAAATACTGTTTACACATACACACTGTATACATATATAATATATAAATCTTATATGCTAATGATTTACTCTAGTCATATACTCGATATCAAAACTCTACACAAGCTCTATACATTGTATGTACTCTATACTCTATATGTATATGTAGATTAAATACTCTATGTATACCTGTTATGCTTAAATGCACTTTACACATATATACACTATATATCCTGTGTATTCTATATACAATATGCAATGTACACAGGTATACACCGAATATACAATATATATACTACATTCAATAGTTATATACGCTATATATACTTGTTATGTTTAAATGCACTATACACTCTACATACACGATATACATCTATACATATATACACCATATATCCTGTGTATTCTATATACAATCTGCTATGTACACAGGTATACACCGAATATACAATATATATATATTACATTTCATAGTTATACACTCTATATGTACTAGTTATGCTGAAATGCATTATACACTCTACATGCACTTTACACATATATACACCATATATCCTGTGTATTCTATATACAATCTGCAATGTACACAGGTATACACCGAATATACAATATATATATATATATATATATTACATTCAATAGTTATATACTCTGTATATACTTCTTATGCTTAAATGTCCTATACACTCTACATGCACTACATACATATATACAACATATATCCTGTGTATTCTATATACAATCTGCAATGTACACAGGTATACACCGAATATACAATATATATACTACATTTAAGTTACATACGCTATATATACTTGTTATGCTTAAATGCACTATACACTCTACATACACTATATACATATATACACCATATATCCTGTGTATTCTATATATAATCTGCAATGTACACAGGTACATATATATATACAATATATATACTACATTCAATAGTTATATACTCTATAAATACTTCTTATGCTTAAATGCACAATACACTCTATATGCACTTTACACATATATACACCATATATCCTGTGTATTCTATATACAATCTGCAATGTACACAGGTATACACCGAATATACAATATATATATATATATACATACTACATTCAATAGTTACATACGCTATATATACTTGTTATGCTTAAATGCATTATACACTCTACATACACTATATATATCTGTACATATATACACCATATATCCTGTGTATTCTATATACAATCTGCAATGTACACAGGTATACACCGAATATACAATATATATACTACATTCAATAGTTACATACGCTATATATACTTGTTATGCTTATATGCACTGTAAAGGATCCTTGCATTCGTGCAGCGATTATCCTTGCAGCTTCTCCCGAAATCCAACTGAAACGAAGTGATTATAGCTCCCAATCCCCCAAACATGAGTCGAGACTTCATGAAGGGGTAAAACGATCTGATTTACTGTGGGCTACCCGCCCGGTATTTATGCAGGTCTTCCACCTGGTGGACACTCCCCTAGGGGACAAGATGGAAGACTGGGACAAAAGTAACACAGTAGCCAATCACAGTGGCTATAGCATAAGCACTCCCCTTTCCATAAATCACTCCCTCTTTTCCATCCTGGAGATAATTAACTTAAGGTAACAAAGAGAGCCTTAATTATCTCCTGGAAGAAAGAAGCATGGCTTTTCTTATTTAGCAAAACAGAATAAAAACATATAACTTTCTTTTTACACAACATAAACTTTAAGTTCCACATATCCCCAGATAGCTTGGATCTGAGGGCATATTCTAGGCGAATAGCGCTCAGATCCCACGAACACAGTTCTCAGAATCATCGACTGAAGTTTGACTTTCACCGGCCGTTCGTGTGGTTGCAGACGACTGCAAGTTCCATACTATAGCTATCTGGGGTCGGCCACTTTCGCATTTATTGTTATTTCCACGAAATCCCGCTGTAATTCTCCAAATAACCTAACAGGCTTGTTCGTATAGTCTGTAAATAGGGGATTTCGTTACATGCACTATACACTCTACATACACTATATACATCTATACATATATACACCATATATCTTGTGTATTCTAAATACAATATGCAATGTATAGAGGTATACACCAAATATACAATATATATATACTACATTCAATAGTTACATACGCTATATATACTTGTTATGCTGCAATGCATTATACACTCTACATGCACTATATACATATATACACCATATATCCGGTATATTCTATATACAATCTGCAATGTATAGAGGTATACACTAAATATACAATATATATATACTACATTTAATAGTTACGTTATGTATAATGTAAAGGGTGGGCCAATATTAAGAGTAGGATTTGACAGGTAAATAACTTGTTAGTAGTTGAATTTTTCAGTTGCAGGTACATATTATAACTGAGTCTTTGTAAATTCATCGTGGGTAATTTCATGGAGTTACATCGAGTAAAAGTAGTGGAATTGAAGTCTCAAAATGGCAGGTCCATTATTTTAACGCAAAGAGCTTACCACCGGCACTTCAATGTAAGCTGCCACGTTTGTCCATCTTTTGAGCTCCTAAATACGTCCTGGGTGGATATCTGAAGTTTTTGATGTGTATAAACAAACCGCGTACACTTGAGCAGATCAAGGAGAATATTCGTGCATAAATTCGAGCCTCAAACATTAGCTTTTGTTATGAACAATGCAACCGAAAGCGTCCGACTTTGCGAGGCGGTAAATGGAACTGATTTAAAAGATGTCATCTTCCGTACATAGTCAGGCAAATCTTCATACGCAGAGCATTCATTGTTTGTAATATCATTGAAATTGGTTCATTCATAAAAAAAAGTTATTCACCCCTTAAACCCTACTCTGAATTTGGCAGACTTTAAACTTTATATACAATCAAAATACATAAATGCACTATATACTCTACACTATATAAATATTTCTTAAACACACATATATACACTTTTAACACTATTGACTTTAGGTATTTATACACTTTATATTTTATAAATATATATATACACTGTAGATTAACTTTATACATATTTGCTATATAAACAGTATTCACTATACACACTGTGACGAAGTGCCCTTCGCCACTTGTGACTGGAGAGGACTGCTTGCCCGCCTCTTGCCCTGTGACTATGGCCCCTGGGATGTATTGCCCTTTAAAGACATGATTTGGGCATAATGGATTTGTGTTGTGCTGCTGCTGGCCCTTTAAGAACCATCTGGGGACATACTGTGGAGTTACTGGGTGGCCACCATTTCCTGTATCAGAAGTACATGGTGAGAACAATGGATGGCGGCCATTTTAACTCACAGACACTGTTTGGACTTTTCAACACGGTGCCATCTCGCCAGTATTTGGTGCACAGAGACATTGTGCAGTGGTTTTGGACTATACAGCAGGGGACACATTATACAGTGATTGTTTTTTATTTAGCCTGTATATGTTCTGCAGAATCTGTATTAAACTGTATTTTCCAAAGTACTGAACGGATCTGGGTGAATTTTGGATATGTGGTTCACCCAGATCCCCCGGTTCCAAGGATATACTTTTTATGGGGTTATTGCATGTTTTGGGGTCCCTGTGTGTTTTATAAAATTGTAATGTTTCTGGCCAGCAGATGATTGAGCTTTGTGTATTGTAGAAACTCAATTATCTAGCCTGGCCCAGAGGAGGAGTTTTGTGTTGTATAAATTGTGAGTTCTGTGTGCCAGTAAATCAGTCTTGTTCCAGCATTAAGCCTTGGCTCATGTTTGGGGGAAGGGATACCTACACTCTGGGGATTGCTATAATCACTTACTCCCCAGAGGAAGCTCTTGCAACAGCTTGATTTGTTCCTGCTCTCTGGGGAAAGAGAGGTTCACCCACTGGAAGCTGGATCCTGGCCTTGGGTCCAGGGTGGGTGGAAACAGCAGAGACCCCGGCGCAGTTGCATAGCTGGAAGTGGGGTCTGCAGTGCTGATGGTGTCGGTTGGAGTGCGTGGAGTCCTCAGCGAGCACTAGGAGCATCGATTGGCGGAGGTACTCAGTCGGAGTGCCAGCGGTCCGTCACACACACATACATAATTCTATATAATTATATTCTCCATATAGCAAGGCAGTAAGGAAAGTCTGCATTATTTTCTTAATTAAGAAGGTGGGAAATACCCACAATGCACTTTCCTTACCTTCTCTTATTAATCTTTCATGCATCCTGAACGCACTTAAGCTCTTCATATATCAGACCATCTTGAAAATAGATCGACGTAATATCCTTCCCTTTCTTCTTGATCCTCCAGTCTCTCTTTGGCCCAGATATTGATAAACATGTAGGACCCTCGGATTGGTGTTTTTAAACATTTCATCTAGCCTGGTTTTAGGTTGTCCTCCTTGGCCCTTGACACCAGCTGTAAACAAGAACACTCTAGTTGAGTATTCTGATGTTGCTATGACTACTTTTGGTGTCATATCAGTGGATATAAATGATGTCATAAACGGTTTTGTGTTGTGCAGGGAAAGTCAATGCTTCAGTGTCAAGCATGCAAAATGTGCATTCTATTAACAGTCACTCACCCACTCACTCACTCAATCAATCTGCAATGAATGATATCAATGTAGCATTGATTGATAGATTCCTAAATGTATCCCAAGTACTGATTTCATATCAAACAAGAGGTTTTTTTTTTCGTTTTGTTTTTTTACTACAGTAGTAGTGTTTCACATTCATCTAAATAAATACTGGTTCTTACATTTATACTGGGATTAGACTATACCTTTAACTACTCTGTCAGAATATAATGTGACCCTACAATGGTGCCATCCAAGAAACTCCCCACCAGATATACATTAACATTAATATGAGGTCAAAACCTACAAAATGTACTTCGATAAAAACACTAACATTAAGGAGACTGTTGTGGAAATAAGGTCTATACATATTTCCTAGTTAGTAAAATGTCTATTTACTCATCTCACGAAAACCAGTATATAAGCTATATACACATATATTAGTCAAAATGGCTGCTAGAAGCTTCTAACCCCTCCTCCCCCAATAATATCGACTAACTACCTCGTGCAGTAAGATGGCGCCGGGAAACCGTGGGAGACCCTCATGGTCCTGGTGACATCACCCTCAGTAGGCAGAGCATTAGGAAGACCACTTAACACCTAACCAATTATTGATGTATTATTCCATGTTATCTCTGACAATGCTTATGATGTAATTTTGCTTTAAAAGGGACCTGCCGTCCCCTCTGAATAAACTTTCCTCAAGTTATTCAACAACCTGGAACCTGTGTCTGGTGTGCACGCATTGTTTCCATTAATTTGGCCAGGGGCAGATACACAAAGAAATATTCAATTCATTGATTGATTTTTCCATTTCAATTGGCGCCCAACGTGGGGCTACCGGAGTGCCGGTTCGGAGGGCCAGAAACCAACGGACCGGAGCGGACCTCCGGAAAGTGGGACGAGCGGAGCCTGATCACCTCCATAATACAGCCGTTGCCTGTGTTATTCTCCTGTTTTGTGTCGGTCTGTCTCCGAGTCCACTTCCGGCTTCCAGAAGGCTACTAGAGACAGGTAATTAACTCATCCGGTGTCCCTTTTGAACGCACCTGTCGATTGTCTATCTGCCTCCTGTATTTGTATGAATGAGTGTGATAACCGGTTTCTTCAGAAGTTTTAGCTTGACTGCCTAGCGGGCAGGGGACGCATTACAGCCGGTGAGGGCTGGGTTTTAGCTTGACTGCCTAGCGGGCAGGGGACGCATTACAGCCGGTGAGGGCTGGGTTTTAGCTTGACTGCCTAGCGGGCAGGGGACGCATTACAGCCGGTGAGGGCTGGGTTTTAGCTTGACTGCCTAGCGGGCAGGGGACGCATTACAGCCGGTGAGGGCTGGGTTTTAGCTTGACTGCCTAGCGGGCAGGGGACGCATTACAGCCGGTGAGGGCTGGGTTTTAGCTTGACTGCCTAGCGGGCAGGGGACGCATTACAGCCGGTGAGGGCTGGGTTTTAGCTTGACTGCCTAGCGGGCAGGGGACGCATTACAGCCGGAGAGGGCTGGGATTTAGCTTGACTGCCTAGCGGGCAGGGGACGCATTACAGCTGGAGAGGGCTGGGTTTAGCTTGACTACTGCTGTGTTTTCATTAAGAATTGTGTTACGGGGAACCAGCCTGGTGGGGAGGGCTGGGGACTGTTGCAATTTGAATATTCAGTGCAGGGTTGTGTTAACATGTACATGGCTATTTTGCTCTCTGTCATTTTGTGGTTTTTATTCAACTGCTGTTATAGTGTGGGTACCCTCGGTGTGTGTGTGTGTGTTGTGTGGCTAGTCCTGGATTCAGGGGTTTACACCCATCTTTACGTGTGTGATTTCTGTAAATGTCTTCTGGTTAGTGTTGCCACGTTCATCTTTTCATTTGTCCTTTATCTCTCCTGTGTTTGTTGCCCAGAGCTGTGTTAGTCACCCACGCTCGCTCGCTCCGGTCCGTGGCCACCACCTCGGGTGGGCGGACCCTCATGACTAGTCTACGTTTGGGGAAGACGCACGGGACTCAAGTCCTCGTGGCAGTCGAGCACTGTAGACATTCCTCTTTCTTCTTCTCTGTATATCTGTCTCTCACACGTGGCTCACTCTGTTTGATCAAGATGGGGCAGGAACATGCTAGACCTGCTAAGGGATTGTTAGCTTGCGACATTGTAAAAGAAAGGGCGGGGGAAGATGCAATGTTAAAGATTAAAAAGATTGCCAAAGTGTGTGGTTTCCAGATGTCGCCTAGTGGGAGGTTGCAACCTGAGTTTTGGAGAAAATTGCTCATAGATAAGGAGGGATTGCTATTGGATAATGGGCTTACGAAGGCTGTAGAGGCTTGATATTGAGTAGCTAGAGGTCTCAAATGGGAAGGGTGGATAGAGGAAGAGTTAGACTTTGAGGGGCAAACTGTACATGTGTACCATAGGAACGTTAACAATGGCGATGTTTCTTCTACTGTCCCTCAACCACCGCCCTATGATGGCGCCCAGAGTGTGACAATTAATTCCCGCCCTGCATCCCCCGTCACTGCTCCGACTCCACCCCCCGGAGGTGTGGTTCCAACCCCCACCCCCCTGTCCCCTGTGCTCGGGGCCGATGGTGCTTACTATTACCCTGTGCCACTCCATTCGTTCCCACCCACTCCTATGCTCCAGCCCCCTCCCGATCAGACCCCGTCCCTAGCCTCTCCCCCGTCATGTCCATAGACATTCCCCCGCCTCCCTGTCCTCCACCCCTCCTACCTACACTTGCCTCCACCTCAGCTCCTATCCCGGATCCTGCCCCATCAGCTCTTGTCCTGCCCACAGAGGTCCCCACCCCTTCTCTCTCCCTCTCCGCACCAACTTCCCCCTCCCCGGTTGCTCCAACTTACCCGTCTGCTTCCACTGGTCTATCGTCCCTGCTCTCTGCCCTCTCAACCCTTACCCATCCCACTACTCCAGTTCCCCCAGACCCTTGTCCTCCCGCTGATCCTTCTCCGCTTCCACCCACGGACCTCGCATCTCTTCTCTCTGTTCTTTCATCCTCCGCTCAACCCACTGTCCCTACCTCACCTGTCCTTCCCTCCACACCTTCTGATCCCTCTCCTCCCACTCCTGCCCTTCCTTCTCCCCCCCATCTCCCGCAGACCTTCCCTCTTTCCTCTCCAACCTCTTAGGGTTAACTCGCCCCGCAACCTCTACATCTCTACCTTTGCCTATGGCTCTGACACCTCCCTCCCTTCCTAAAGATCTCTCGTCCCTGCTCTCCGCCCTCTTGAACCTTACTCAACCTACTGATTCAGCTCCCCCCATCTCCACTCCCTCACCCACTATCGCCACCGACCCTCCGCCTACTCCTCCTTCTTCTATAGATCTTACGTCGCTCGTAACCGCCCTCTCCACCTTGTCCCATCCTCCTGTTCCTTTGTCATCTCCTACACTCCCAGGCTCTACCCCTCTTGCTCCCCAGGCTGATCTGCTCTCCACCCACTCGTCATCACCGTCACCTGGTAAACCCACTCCTACTACGTCATATCCTTCTGCCTTGTCGTCTCCTTCCCCTCCTACTGATTTGTCGTCCCTCCTCTCCGCCCTCACTGCCGTAACCCAACCTCCTCTACCCACCCCTCCTAACGCCCCTCCCCCAATGACCCCCGAGCCAACCACTGCCAATGACCTGTCTTCCTCCATATCCGCCCTCATCTCCGCTGTCACGTCCTTGGTTCACTCCGCTATCCCCACCCCGCCCCCTGCAGACTCGCCTCCTCCTCCTCCTCCAGATCCCCCAACCCCTTCCCCTCCTACCATCACTCCCCCCGAGTCCTCCGATCCAATCTCTGCCCTTGCTCACGTCCTTAACACCCACCTATCACGCCCGCCCCAGCTAGCCCCCACGTCCACCCCCTCCATGGCATTGGTCCCCTTTACTCCTCCGACTAGTTCCAGTTGCCCAATCATGATGGTTGGGTCCGATGTGTCAGTGACGTCGGACCAACCCTATGCGGTGGGTGTTTCCCCTCAGGCCTCGGGGTTCCACCCAACCACGTCACCCGTCACCGGCCTCCCGGCTGCTCCGGCCTCGGTTTCCCCAGAGATCACCCCCCACCGGGGCCTTGCAGCACCCGAGGAGGTTGACATGGAGGAACAGGACTCACCTCGCCCTGGGGGAAACAGATTCCCCCAACGGCACTCTGTCCCCAGAGGATATACCCAGGTTAATCCAGGAGCAGACGGTGCACCGCCCATGTATGTCACATTTAACCCCTCCCAGGCTGCTACCCTTGTTACCTCACTCCCAGATCCTGAAAAGCATCCCATGCCCTTTTTCCGAAGAATGTCTCAGATTCGGAAAACATATTCCGCTGCATGGCGGGATCTCTTAAGTTTGTGTGAAATTAAAGCTGGGGATGCATACTGGCCAATTATGGCGAGAAGTTTTAATGATGCTCCACTCACCTCCGATACTGATTTTCGTTCTGGTATAACCTTTTGTGAGCAACTCCGAGCTTGGGCACAGGATAAGCTAGCTGATCAGGCTACTTGTATAAATTATATTGTTCAGGACAAACTTGAGTCAGTTGAGAAATATCACTCCAGATTAACTCAGACCTTCTCAGACTTAGGGTTCAGTACTTATAATAAAGCAAACACCCAGATGTTATCCGCAGCCTTCATGGCTGGTCTAAAGGAACACATTCGTAAGGGGTTGATCCTATCTCGTCCAGAATACAGAATTATCCCACTTGACACCCTTTTGTTGGTAGCCAAAGGTTTAGAATCAGTTTTACAACCCACACAAAAGAGAGCTAGCCCACTGATGTTCACTGCACCCGCACCGGTCTCTGGTCCTACCCATGCTCCCCAGGTATACACTCAACAATACACTCAGCAGCCCCAAACACTTCCTGTATCTGTTCCCCCTTCCCAGGACCGGGCCCTCACGACAAACAGAACCTGTTATAACTGTAATCAGACCGGCCATTTCAGGAGGGAATGCCCACATCCCAAAGTGTTCCGCCCGCAACCTCCCCGGTACACTAATCCCCAGGTTACCGGCTACAGCTACCCCTCCCCAGGTTACTTCCATTCCTTGCCTCACCCTCAGTTGCCCCAGTTTCCCCCTCCTCTTGTGTCTACCCTCCGGCCCCTGCTGATGGGTTTGACACGGATGATTTCCAGGAGAATCAACCCTTGCCTAGACAAAACCGCCCTGCTCGTACTGCTATGCAGCCTAGCCACCCTCCCACTTCTTCCCGCCGGTACCAAGGGCCCGACCAGGCTCATTTAGACTTATTGCAATAGGTAACCGGCAAGCCTGTGTCAGCAACCCCTGCCATGGCAGTGTCTGCGGGGGAGGGAGGAGGGCCTTTAGCTACTGTAGTTCTCCCCGTAGAGGGTCATCCCACTACCTTTCTAGTTGACACAGGTGCAGCCCGTAGTGTTCTTAGAGAACAAGACCTGCCTGACCCCTCCTTTTTGTCTGACACCGATGTCTCCTGCGTTGGGGTTGATGGTACACCCCGCAGTAACCCCCTCACTAAGCTACTCCATGTTGGATCACACATTCTCTCTCGGTTTGTAGTTTCCTCTACTTGTCCCATTAACCTCTTAGGTGCTGATGTCCTCTCCCGGCTCCAGGCCTCTATTACCTTTACCGTTGATGGTCAGGTCCAATTAACCACACCCTTATCACAGAAAGACACTCTGCTCTCTCCCCATACTGTTGCATCTTACAGCTTCCACAGGGAATTCACGGGTCCCACATGCCCCCAGTGCTCTAGACCGGATCCCACCAAAGCTTTGGTCTACCGGCCCGGATGACATTGGACGCCTCCAGGTCCCCCCAGTTGTGGTCAAGCTCTTGCCAGGAGCATTACCTCCACGTAGGCCTCAGTACCCTGTGAAACCTGCACAAGCTCAAGCTATCACCAAACAGGTTGAAAGCCTACTCGCCAAGGGTGCACTCATTAAGTATGTATCTCCATGTAATACTCCTCTTTTCCCTGTCAAGAAGAAAACTGCCAAGGGCCAACCTGACCAATATCGTATGGTTCAGGATCTTCGTGCTGTCAATGAAGTAACTGTCAAAGATACCGCCATTGTTCCAAATCTCCACACTCTTTTGTCCCAGGTCCCACCTACTGCCACGATTTTTACTGTTGTGGATCTGGCTAATGCATTTTTCAGTGTGCCACTAGACCCTTCCTGTCGGTTCCTTTTCGCCTTTACTCACGAAGGACAACAATACACCTGGACTGTCATGCCACAGGGGGCCCAGAATTCCCCCACACAGTTTGCCCGTGCTATGTCTTTGGTACTGGAGCCTTGGCAGAAGTCCCATCCTGATGTTGTTCTCCTTCAATATGTCGATGATCTCCTTCTCTGTGCTACAGATCTCCCCACTGCAGAACGAGACTCCGAGGATCTCCTATGTTTCCTCGCTGAAGCGGGTTGTAAAGTTTCTAAATCCAAACTACAGTGGTGCCGGCTCTCTGTGGTCTTCTTGGGACATTGCCTTTCCCATGGCACCAGACATCTAACTTCACAACGTGTACAAGCTATCCTGCAGCTCCCATTGCCTGCAGCACATCAGACTCTTCATGCTTTCTTGGGACTCATTACATACTGTAGGTCCTGGATACCTGAAGCCTCAAAGCTCATGCAGCCACTTTATGATACCCTCAGGAGTGAACCTTTCCATCTTTCTACAGATGCTATTGACTGTTTTCACAGTTTGAAGAGGGCTATCGCGTCAGCACCTGCCTTGGGCCTTCCAAACTACCAGTTACCTTTTTATTTGTTTGTTTCTGAAAAATCTGGACATGCTTCCGGAGTCCTTACCCAAAAACATGGCACTCGACAACGGCCTATTGGCTATTTCTCATGCATGCTTGACCCTGTTGCTAGGGGTAGTCCCTCCTGCCTCAGGGCAGTGTTTGCTGCCAGTGCCCTCCTGGACAAGACTAATGACTTTGTTCTGGGTCACCACCTCACAGTGTTGGCTCCTCATGATATTTCTGCAATCCTCCAACAAGTTCAACCTAGACATCTTTCTTCTCAACGCCACCTTCGTCTACAAACTTCTTTACTGTTACCTGATAATGTGATACTTCAACGGTGCCTCTCCCTGAATCCGGCCACTCTTCTGCCACTTCCCAAGGGGGGAGTTGTGGAGTACTGGTGCAGCTTGGACATCAACCCAGAGGTCCGAGCAGACTTGCAGCTGCCTGCCCTTGCACCCCCACATGATGAGCAATCAGAGAACTTACTTCACTGCACCCTGTGGTTTAAGGGTAGCCCAGGCCCCGATATGAATTATGAGGAAGAACTGTTCCAACTCAAGGAAATTCCAATTACGCTGACTGACTTACTATGGGACTCCACAGGTAACATGATCTTATTAGTTCATCTCCCAGAAAATGTGACACATCTCTACCATCATTGGGAAACAGCTGTCCCACATATATCTCTCAATAAGTCCCCTGACATTTCATGGAGAGATTTAAGCCCAATGGCCAAGGCCTGGAATCAAACAGCCCAGGAACAACTGACCTCTATGGGGATAACCAAAAAGGCTATTAACCACTGTACAGCAGGGTACCCTAGGTACCACACAGAAGTCTGTGAGGACTTACTCACCATAGACTGTGACCCTGACATTCCTCATGATTGTTTTGAACAAATGAAAATGGAAACTACCCACTTGCCAACTGTGTATGAAGCTGCGTTACTCAACCCAGACCAAACACTGTTTGTGGACGGCTCTAGATTTGCTGATGAACAGGGCCAATATCACACTGGGTATGCAGTCACCACAGGATGTCACGTATTACAAGCAGCTGCCCTTCAGCCAACCAAGTCAGCTCAAGAAGCCGAGCTGACAGCCCTAACCGTGGCCTGCAAGTTGTCTGAAGGCCTACGTGTCAATATCTATACAGACTCAAGATATGCCCTGGGAGTGGCACATGACTTTGGTCTAATTTGGAAAACTAGAGGATTTCTTACAGCCACCGGTACCCCAGTGAAACATGGGGCAGCCATTGCAGAACTGATGGACGCTTTAGAACTTCTGGCAGAGGTGGCGGTATTGAAAGTGAAAGCCCATGGAAGGTTAGATTCAGAGGAGGCACGGGGTAACCACTTAGCTGATCAGGCCGCCAAGAAAGCAGCACGACAAGGGTGGGAAGTGGACAGAAGAGTGGCCACCGACGCAGTACCTATCTACACCATGCAGACATTACCTACGGATCTCAGGCTTCTAAAGATACAACAAGCAGCTGCTACCCCCCAGGAGAAACAAAGTTGGAAGAACAAAGGAGCTGTTCTCCATGATGATGTGTACACTATCAATCTCAAGTTTTGCCTACATAGAAATATGTATCCAGCTGTAGTTCAATGGGCCCATGGGCCGGCCCACCTGTCAAAACATTTGATGAACTCATTGATTGATAAGTATTTCGAAGCACCAGGCATCACTACCTTGACACAGAATTATTGTAGATCTTGCACAATATGCGCTAAATGTAACCCTGAGAAGATTGTTAAAACCGCACCTAACCACCTGGCCAAGCCCCAATACCCCTTTCAGAGGATACAGATCGACCATATTCAAATGCCAAAAAGTGGACGTTATGAATACGCACTGGTCATTGTGGACATGTTCTCAGGATGGCCAGAAGCTTTCCCAGTGGCTAATCTCACTGCGAGGACTACGGCCAAGCACCTCCTGACGGAAATTGTCTGCCGATATGGAGTCCCAGAAGTGATTGAAAGTGACCAAGGGACCTCCTTCACTGCCTCGTTGACACGGGAGGTCTGGTCAGCACTGGGGGTGACCCTTGCATTCCACACGCCATATCATCCACAAAGTAGTGGTAAGGTAGAGCGCATGAATGGCACCTTAAAAGCCAGAATGCTTAAAATGTCACAGGAAACTAATATGCCCTGGCCCGAGAGTCTTCCATTAGCATTGTTTAGTGTGAGGTACACTCCTAGGGGAAAATATAGCCTATCACCTTATGAGATTTTGTTTGGTACAGCACCCAGGCTAGGTTGTTACTTCCCTCAACAACTTCAAATCCAGTCAGATGCTATGGTAGATTATGTAACTGCCCTCTCACATGCCTTGACCAAAATCCATGCCCAAGTGTTTTCTTCTATTCCAGATGCTGAGTCGAATACAGGTACACACAAGCTGCTCCCTGGTGATTGGGTTATGGTCAAGAAATTTCTCAGGAAACACACTCTTGAGCCAAGATTTGATGGTCCTTACCAAGTGCTCCTGATCACAGCTACATCAGTTAAGCTAGCCGGAAAGAGTTCTTGGATACACGCTTCGCATTGCAAGAAAGTGCCTGCTCCAGAAGAGGCTACCCCTACTGAACTATGAATTTGTTATGTATTCTGTGTTTTCTTACGTTGCTACATTTTGCATGGGCCCAACAGGTGGCCATAACCAAAGATAACCATGTTTACACTTTCTGGTACAATTCTTCTAACACAGATTTAGCCACATATACCTTTGACTACTGTGACTGTTGTTTGCACCTTCCCACAAGCACACTATGCAGCCATATACAAGGACATACCTAACAAAAAAGATCCATACATTTGTGTGACTGGAGGAACTTGGGGGCATCATTGTAGTTCATGGAAAGCCGCCGGGTGGAACACGGGTAGACCATGGGGCTACAAACCCCAGAGTGCATTAGACAGAATTGACAAAGACGGAAAACCTCTACTCTCCAGAATGACCTTAAGTAAACCTTGTAACGGAACCGCTGGCACCCCGACCGGGTACCTTCCACCGACGGATGCTCCTAGTGCTTTCCAAGGACTCCAAGCACTCTGCCTGACACCATAACCACTGCAGACCCCATGAACTGCCGCAGCTTGGTTGGGGTCTCGCCGTCTCCACCCACTCTGGACCCAGGACCAGGGTCCAGCTTCCAGCAGGTCGACCTCTCTCCGAATTCCAGAGTGCAGGAACAGGAACAAGCTCTAAGCAGAGCTTAGTGATTATACCCTGGGGAGTATAGTGATTATAGCAATCCCCAGAGTGTAGTTCTCCAATCCCCCAAACATGAGCCGAAACTTCATGAAGGTACAAGGTGATCTGACTCCAATGAGCGTTTATTACTCCTTATATACAAGTTTTCAGGTCAGAGGCACACCCCCTGGACCTGGTGGTAAACTGTGACAAAAGGGACACAAACCAATGGGAACACTAATTAACATGATAACACTCTCACATAAACAATGAAATCCCTCCTCTCCATCCTGGAGATAATTGGCTTAAGGCACTGCAGTAAACTCAATTATCTCCAGGTACAAAAAATATCTACATTTTACACTAACAGCAAAAATACGTAAAAGTACATAAAAATACATAATTCTTATTATATTACACAGAACCCCCACATTTAACCTATCCCCAGATAGCTCGGATCTGAGCGCCCAATCTAGGTGAACAATAGACAGGAAACGGGGGAGGGGAAGAAACACACCTTCCCATGGATTCCAATGGGAAGAAACTGTCTTTAGAAGCCAATAATCCCCAAATAGTCTTTTTTAAATGGCAATACACCCCAGGGCCATAGTCATGAGGAAGGAGGCTGGCAATCAGGCTCCTCCAAAAGCCGGGGGCAAAGGGCAGCTTGTCACCTAACAATCCAGGGACAAAAGGCATTTCATCACAAACCTACTGGGTCAACTCCTATCAAACTTACCTTGAACATAGAGCACCCCAGCCCGAAAGATGCAGGAGAATATGTAATGGGAATGTACTGGAGGGGAGGCGGTTCATATAATAAACTGGGTACATTTTATCTACAGGACATGCTTACCTCACCAGACTGGGTAGGAACCACTTACATGACTATTAACCCATTGAAACCGCATATTAAGACTCTACATGACATGGTAGCTATAGCCAACCCCACCTTTGAAGACACCATGGCAGTAGAAACTGGGTTCTCAGACACCAATTTGTGGCTAGAATGGATGAGGTACAATGCTAACTCACACAATAAGACTAATTGTTATGTATGTGGAGGAGCCAGGCCCCATCTGGGTACAGTTCCTCTAAGTTTACCTCCTGAAGTAGAATTATGTGTTTTAAGCCTTTATGCACAATCCACCACAAATTCCTCAACATGTGAATCGTGGAAAAGGGTTTACCCAATCACCCAAGGACACGTTAAGCCACCCGATGGGGTCACCGTATATCCAGGTAATTACACGTGTTATTCAATACCTAAGAACGCTGGTGTGTATCTGGGCAAATTCCCATCTGGATATTGCTCTACCTACCATAGCCCACTGCTAATGAATCATGCAAAGACAGTTGGAGACATATATTGGTTATGTGGCGACAGACAGTTGAGGTCCCAACTGGTGGGGCAATGGTGGGGAGAATGTACCTTGACCAAGGCTATAATGCCCATCCACATCATTCCAGACGGTAGCCATAATACATTAGACCACACACACATGCATCCTAGAGCCAGGCATGAAGCCCCCATCCGAGGGAGCTTCGACCCCCATGTATATATTGATGCTATTGGTGTCAGGGGCGTATTAGCCGCGAGGCAAACAAGGCATTTGCCTTGGGCGGCATTTTTCAGGGAGCTGCAAAAAACGCCGCCCCCCCCAAATGCCCAGGGCAAATGCCTAGTTAGCCTCGCGGCTAACTGACATCCCGAGCGGGCGGCCGGCGAGGGAGCTCTTCCCCTGAGCTGACTGCTCAGCTCCCTCGCGGCCGCAGAGTGAGGCTGGGAGCCGGAATATGACGTCATCTTCCGGCTCCCAGCCTCACTCTGCAGCCGGCGCGCAAGGGAGCTGAGCAGTCAGCTCATAGGAAGTGCTCCCTCGCCAGCCGCCCGCCTGCCAGCACCGCCCGCCCGACCTGCAGCCACTGGACCACCGGACCACCAGGGAGAGAGACCCCCCCCCAGCACTCCCAAAGGTAAGGAGGTTGGGGGGGGGGATTTAAATTTAAAAAAAAAGCACTCCCAAAGGTAAGGAGGTTGGGGGGGGGGATTTAAATTTAAAAAAAAAGTTAATGTGTGTGTGTGTCTGACTGTGTGTGTGTGTTTGTGCCTGACTCTGTGTGTGTGTGTGTTTGTGTCTGATTGTGTGTGTGTGTGCTTGTGTCTGACTGTGTGTGTGTGACTGTGTGTTTGTGTCTGACTGTGTGTGTGTGTCTGACTGTGTGTGTGTGTGTGTCTGACCGTGTGTGTGTTTGCGTCTGTGTATGTGTCTGACTGTGTGTGTGTGTTTGTGTCTGACTGTGTGTGTGTGTCTGACTGTGTGTGTGTGTGTGTGCGTCTGACTGTGTGTGTAGTTTCTGTGTGTCTGTGTATGTGTGTCTGACTGTGTGTGTGTTTGTGTCTGACTGCGTGTGTAGTTTTGTGTGCGGGTTTTGTGTCTGACTCGTGTTTTGTGTTCGTGTGGGCTGTGGGGCTCCGATCTGTGTGTGTGTCTGACTGTGTGTGTGTCTGACTGTGTGTGTGTGTGCCTGACTGTCTGACTGTGTGTGTGTGTGTTCATCGTCTGACTGTGTGTGTGTGTGTCGGTCTGACCTCGTGCGTGTGTGTGCGTGTGTCTGACTGTGTGTGTTTGTGCGTCTGTGTATGTGTCTGACTGTGTGTGTGTTTCTGTGTCTGACTGTGTGTGTGTTTGTGTCTGACTGTGTTTGTGTTCGTATGTCTGACTGTGTGTGTGCCTGACTGTCTGACTGTGTGTGTGTGTGTTTGTCTGACTGTGTGTGTTTGTCTGACTGTGTGTGTGTTTGTCTGACTGTGTGTGTGTGTGTTTGTCTGACTGTGTGTGTGTGTGTCTGACTGTGTGTTTAGAAGGTGGGGTGGGGGAAGGGTTGGGTGGGGGGTGGCGCTGGGGACGGGGGCGTCTGAGTTTTGTCCTGCCTAGGGCAGCACAAAACCAGGATACACCACTGATTGGTGTGCCAAGGGGGGTGCCTAGTGAATTCAAAGCAAGGGATGAGGTGGCAGCAGGATTTGAATCCTTGATTCCAATGATAACTGCTAACAAGAATGTGAATTGGATTAATTACATTTATTATAATCAACAACGCTTTGTTAATTACACTAGGGATGCCCTACAGGGCCTGGCAGAACAATTACAAGCCACCACCCAGATGACATTTCAGAACAGGATGGCCCTAGATATGATCTTAGCCGAGAAGGGGGGTGTATGTAAAATCCTCCCCGAAACCATGACATGCTGCACATTTATTCCAGACAACACTGGGCCCAATGGTAAGGTAACTATGGCCATAGAGAAGCTAGATAGCCTCTCCGATGAGTTGAAAAATAACTCAGGAGTCACTGACAATTGGGACAGATGGTTTGGATGGAAGAATGGTTGGCAAAGAACCCTATTTCAGGTAGGAACGGCTGTTCTTATAATGATTATCATTTTCTTATTCCTAACCTGTTGTGTGCTCCCTTGCATACAAAAGTACAGAAAGCGGTAGATAAGACTATAGATGACGTGACTCCTACATCAAGATATCACAGACCTCGAGAGTGACACCCCACACACACCCCTCCAATCACATCAGTTCAAACAGACAACTGCATTCCTGTAGGGACAGTGTAGGGAAAGCGTCTGTTTCTATCTTAGAGAGGGTTCAGAGAAGGGCTACTAAACTGGTTCATGGATTGCGGGATAAAACTTACCAGGAAAGGTTAAAGGATCTTAACATGTATAGCTTGGAGGAAAGACGAGACAGGGGGGATATGATAGAAACATTTAAATATATAAAGGAATCAACACAGTAAAGGAGGAGACTATATTTAAAAGAAGAAAAACTACCACAACAAGAGGACATGGTCTTAAATTAGAGGGACAAAAGGTTTAAAAATATCAGGAAGTATTACTTTACTGAGAGGGTAGTGGATGCATGGAATAACCTTCCACCTGAAGTGGTAGAGGTTAACACAGTAAAGGAGTTTAAGCATGCGTGGGATAGGCATAAGGCTATCCTAACTATAAGATAAGACAAGGGACTAATGAAAGTATTTAGAAAATTGGGCAGACTAGATGGGCCGAATGGTTCTTATCTGCCGTCACATTCTATGTTTCTATGTTTCTATGTTTCTATGTTTCTATGTCTTGACAGGCGAGTCTCACGTGTGGAGATGTGGTGGATTAGCTACCGCGGGTTACCCACGGAGTGAAGTGTTCAATGCTTGTTAAGACAGATGAGCTGCAGGCAGCTAGGGATACGCTAGGGACAGTGGCAGTTGTTATGGTAAATAGCCATTTTAAGGGGGGACTGTTGTGGAAATAAGGTCTATACATATTTCTTAATTAGTAAAATGTCTATTTACTCATCTCACGAAAACCAGTGTATAAGCTATACACACATATATTAGTCAAAATGGCTGCTAGAAGCTTCTAACCCCTCCTCCCCCAATAATATCGACTAACTACCTCGTGCAGTAAGATGGCGCCGGGAAACCGTGGGAGACCCTCATGGTCCTGGTGACATCACCCTCAGTAGGCAGAGCATTAGGAAGACCACTTAACACCTAACCAATTATTGATGTATTATTCCATGTTATCTCTGACAATGCTTATGATGTAATTTTGCTTTAACCCCTTAAGGACCAAACTTCTGGAATAAAAGGGAATCATGACATGTCACACATGTCGTGTGTCCTTAAGGGGTTAAAAGGGACCTTCCGTCCCCTCTGAATAAACTTTCCTCAAGTTATTCAACAACCTGGAACCTGTGTCTGGTGTGAATTACTTCAGGGAGCGTGCACGCATTGTTTCACTGATTTGGCCAGGGGCAGATACACAAAGAAATAATCAATTCATTGATTGATTTTTCCATTTCAGAGACAAACATTTTTCTCACTATTTAGATTTATTCCCATCCCCCCTACCCTAAAAAAACTTTAAATTTCAAAAGAAATTAGATTGTCTTAGCTTTAGTTCCATAATGTGACGGTTTCTGTTTTCACCGCGGATGCTAATTCTCTCCGGCTAAAATGATCTTTACAGATGAAGCAATCAAATGCTTCTCCATTAAGCTGTAGTGGTTCTGGTGCTTACAGTGTCCCTTTAAATTGGTTTGTTGCCCTACGTGTGCCTGGAACGTTCTTTCCAGAGTCGTACTGTTGTTTGTGCGTCCACAAATTTAGTGATGTATTTCCGACCATTTAAAGCTGTAGTGGAGTCCTTTATTTTGCGAGATTTTCTTTGGCTGTGGTTCTGGTGGCTCCTTCTGGTATTGCTGATCCGTTTGTCATTTATTTCCTCACATCCTGGCTTTTATTTTTTCTCCTTTTTCTCTTCAGTTGTCCAGTTGTTTGGATATAAAATCTCCATTCCATTCACCAAAATGTATCCCTAATTGAAAAGAATTAAAAAAAAACAAATTGCTCTTTGCTATCATGGAAAATATGTCTATCTATCTATATGCATTATATGCTTACCGTAACTATGCAACACTATATTATAAATACTATTTACACATACACACTGTATACATATTTAATATATAAATCTTATATGCTAATGATTTACTCTAGTCATATACTCGATATCAAAACTCTACACAAGCTCTGTACATTGTATGTACTCTATATGTATATGTAGATTAAATACTCTATGCATACCTATTATGCTTAAATGCACTTTCCACATATATACACTATATATCCTGTGTATTCTATATACAATCGGCAATGTACACAGGTATACGCCGAATATACAATATATATACTACATTCAATAGTCATATACTCTATATATACTTGTTATGTTTAAATGCACTATACACTCTACATACACGATATACATCTATACATATATACACCATATATCCTGTGTATTCTATATACAATCTGCAATGTACACAGGTATACACCGAATATACAATATATATACTACATTCAATAGTTATATACTCTATATATACTTGTTATGTTTAAATGCACTATACACTCTACATACACGATATACATATATACACCGTATATCCTGTGTATTCTATATACAATCTGCAATGTACACAGGTATACACCGAATATACAATATATATACTACATTCAATAGTTACATACGCTATATATACACTTGTTATTCTTAAATGCACTATACGCTCTACATGCACTACATACATATACACACCATACATCCTGTGTATTCTATTTACAATCTGCAATATATAGAGTGTGGCGAAACCGACCGCGCCACGTGTCCTTGGAGGGGGCTGCTTGCCCGCCTCTTGCCTTTGGACTATGGACCAGACTTTATGTGAATGTTTTAACCCAGATAGCTATGCCATGGAGCCCATTCGTGTAGTTAAAGACTTCGGCTCCATGGCAATTGAACTGTGTGAATAGGATCTGAGCGCTATTCGGTAGTTTTGTGCGCTCAGATCCCAGCTATCTGGGGATATGTGAAATGTCTGTGTGTTATGTGTAAAGGTGACTTTATGTATTTTAAAGTGTTTTGTGTCTTTTGCAACCATGTGCTTAATGGAGTCTTGTGTCTGTCCTGGGAGATAATTGAATTACTCTCCAGGATAGAAGACTCTGAAACTAGTTTGGGCCAGAAAGCCATGCTTCATTTAGTCACAAAGGACTTTCCCTTAACTTTTGAACCCCTGGTCTGATTCGTGCCATTTTTTAATATGTTGTTCCCCTGAATGGATTGATTATGAAAATGTATGTTTTATGTTTGTGACATGTATATTTTTAGAAGTTATAAATATTGTGTAAAAACTGTATTCCTCTGCCGGTGATAATGAGATTACCCATTGTGTTCAGTAATCATATCACCTGCAGAGGGGAGGATTTTGTGTGGGAGTGTCTGGGTGTATTGTACGGATTGATTGGCTGTTTTGTAACGCCCTGTGGGCTGTACTATGTTTGTGGATTGGGAATAAAAGAGACTGTATGTGACAGTACAGGGAGTTCCTGCTTAACCCTCAAAGTGAAGTGTCGTCTCAGTATTGGGGGAAGGATTTATTGTATGCTGTTCCAGTTTGACTGCTAGGAGAGTAAACCTATTCGTATGGTTCCTATTCAACTGTCTACAGCATTCATATGCTTGGGAGGATTCATATGCTTCTCCAGTTCGGTGGTTGTGGTGTCTGCTGCAGTGCTTGGAGTCCTCAGGAAGTGCTAGGAGCATCCTTTAACGGAGGTACCCAGTCGGGGTGCCAGGTGATTCGTTACATAGAGGTATACACCGAATATACAATATATATATACAGGGAGTGCAGAATTATTAGGCAAATGAGTATTTTGACCACATCATCCTCTTTATGCATGTTGTCTTACTCTAAGCTGTATAGGCTCGAAAGCCTACTACCAATTAAGCATATTAGGTGATGTGCATCTCTGTAATGAGAAGGGGTGTGGTCTAATGACATCAACACCCTATATCAGGTGTGCATAATTATTAGGCAACTTCCTTTCCTTTGGCAAAATGGGTCAAAAGAAGGACTTGACAGGCTCAGAAAAGTCAAAAATAGTGAGATATCTTGCAGAGGGATGCAGCACTCTTAAAATTGCAAAGCTTCTGAAGCGTGATCATCGAACAATCAAGCGTTTCATTCAAAATAGTCAACAGGGTCACAAGAAGCGTGTGGAAAAACCAAGGCGCAAAATAACTGCCCATGAACTGAGAAAAGTCAAGCGTGCAGCTGCCACGATGCCACTTGCCACCAGTTTGGCCATATTTCAGAGCTGCAACATCACTGGAGTGCCCAAAAGCACAAGGTGTGCAATACTCAGAGACATGGCCAAGGTAAGAAAGGCTGAAAGACGACCACCACTGAACAAGACACACAAGCTGAAACGTCAAGACTGGGCCAAGAAATATCTCAAGACTGATTTTTCTAAGGTTTTATGGACTGATGAAATGAGAGTGAGTCTTGATGGGCCAGATGGATGGGCCCGTGGCTGGATTGGTAAAGGGCAGAGAGCTCCAGTCCGACTCAGACGCCAGCAAGGTGGAGGTGGAGTACTGGTTTGGGCTGGTATCATCAAAGATGAGCTTGTGGGGCCTTTTCGGGTTGAGGATGGAGTCAAGCTCAACTCCCAGTCCTACTGCCAGTTCCTGGAAGACACCTTCTTCAAGCAGTGGTACAGGAAGAAGTCTGCATCCTTCAAGAAAAACATGATTTTCATGCAGGACAATGCTCCATCACACGCGTCCAAGTACTCCACAGCGTGGCTGGCAAGAAAGGGTATAAAAGAAGAAAATCTAATGACATGGCCTCCTTGTTCACCTGATCTGAACCCCATTGAGAACCTGTGGTCCATCATCAAATGTGAGATTTACAAGGAGGGAAAACAGTACACCTCTCTGAACAGTGTCTGGGAGGCTGTGGTTGCTGCTGCACGCAATGTTGATGGTGAACAGATCAAAACACTGACAGAATCCATGGATGGCAGGCTTTTGAGTGTCCTTGCAAAGAAAGGTGGCTATATTGGTCACTGATTTGTTTTTGTTTTGTTTTTGAATGTCAGAAATGTATATTTGTGAATGTTGAGATGTTATATTGGTTTCACTGGTAATAATAAATAATTGAAATGGGTATATATTTGTTTTTTGTTAAGTTGCCTAATAATTATGCACAGTAATAGTCACCTGCACACACAGATATCCCCCTAACATAGCTATAACTAAAAACAAACTAAAAACTACTTCCAAAAATATTCAGCTTTGATATTAATGAGTTTTTTTGGGTTCATTGAGAACATGGTTGTTGTTCAATAATAAAATTAATCCTCAAAAATACAACTTGCCTAATAATTCTGCACTCCCTGTATACTACATTCAATAGTTATATACTCTGTATATACTTCTTATGCTTAAATGTCCTATACACTCTACATGCACTACATACATATATACAACATATATCCTGTGTATTCTATATACAATCTGCAATGTACACAGGTATACACCGAATATACATATATATATATATACACTACATTTCATAGTTATATACTCTATATGTACTAGTTATGCTGAAATGCACATTACACTCTACACATATATACACACCATATATCCTGTGTATTCTATATACAATATGAAATGTACAAAGGTATACACCGAATATACAATATATATACTACATTCAATAGTTACATACGCTATATATACTTGTTATGCTTATATGCACTATACACTCTACATACACTATATACATCTATACATAAATACAACATATATCCTGTGTATTCTGTATACAATCTGCAATGTACACAGGTATACACCGAATATACAATATATATACTACATTCAATAGTTACATACGCTATATATACTTGTTATGCTTATATGCACTATACACTCTACATACACTATATACAAATCTACATATATACACCATATATCCTGTGTATTCTATATACACAATCTGCAATGTACACAGGTATACACCGAATATACAATATATATATATATATATATATATACACATATATACATATACATATATATATATATATACTCCATTCAATAGTTATATACTCTATATGTACTTGTTATGCTTAAATGTCCTAAACACTCTACATGCACTACATACATATATACACTATATATCTTGTGTATTCTATATACAATCTGCAATGTATAGAGGTATACACCAAATATACAATATATATACTACATTCAATAGTTACATACGCTATATATACTTGTTATGCTGCAAAGCATTATACACTCTACATGCACTATATACATATATACACCATATATCCGGTATATTCTATATACAATCTGCAATGTATAGAGGTATACACTGAATATACAATATATATATACTACATTTAATAGTTACGTTATGTATAATGTAAAGGGTGGGCCAATATTAAGAGAAGGATTTGACAGGTAAATAACTTGTTAGTAGTTGAATTTTTCAGTTGCAGGTACATATTATAACTGAGTCTTTGTAAATTCATCGTGGGTAATTTCATGGAGTTACAACGAGTAAAAGTAGTGGAATTTAAATCTCAAAATGGCAGGTCCATTATTTTAACGCAAAGAGCTTACCACCGGCACTTCAATGTAAGCTGCCACGTTTGTCCATCTTTTGAGCTCCTAAATACTTCCTGGGTGGATATCTGAGGTTTTTGATGTATATAAACAAACCGCGTACACTTGAGCAGATCAAGGAGAATATTCGTGCATAAATTCGAGCCTCAAACATTAGCTTTTGTTATGAACAATGCAATCGAAAGCGTCCGACTTTGCGAGGCGGTAAATGGAACTGATTTAAAAGATGTCATCTTCCGTACATAGTCAGGCAAATCTTCATACGCCGAGCATTCATTGTTTGTAATATCATTGAAATTGGTTCATTCATAAAAAAAGTTATTCACCCCTCAAACCCTACTCTGAATTTGGCAGAGTTTAAACTTTATATACAATCAAAATACATAAATGCACTATATACTCTACACTATATAAATATTTCTTAAACACATATATACACTTTTAACACTATTGACTTTAGGTATTTATACACTTTATATTTTATAAATATATATCTATACACTGTAGATTAACTTTATACATATTTACTATATAAACAGTATTCACTATACACACATACATAATTCTATATAAATTATATTCTCCATATAGCAAGGCAGTAAGGAAAGTCTGCATTATTTTCTTAATTAAGAAGGTGGGAAATACCCACAATGCACTTTCCTTACCTTCTCTTATTAATCTTTCCTGCATCCTGAACGCACTAAAGCTCTTCATTTATCAGACCATCTTGAAAATAGATCCACGTAATATGCTTCCCCTTCTTCTTGATCCTCCAGTCTCTCTTTGGCCCAGATTTTGATGAATCTGTAGGACCCTCGGATTGGTGTTTTTAAACATTTCATCTAGCCTGGTTTTAGGTTGTCCTCCTTGGCCCGTGAACACCAGCTGTAAACAAAACAACTCTAGTTGAGCATTCTGATGTTGCTATGACTACTTTTGGTGTCATATCAGTGGATATAAATGATGTCATAAACGGTTTTGTGTTGTGCAGGGAAAGTCAATGCTACAGTGTCAAGCATGCAAAATGTGCATTCTATTAACAGTCACTCACCCAATCAATGTGCAATGAATGATATCAATGTAGCATTGATTGATAGATTCCTAAATGTATCCCAAGTACTGATTTCATATCAAACAAGAGTTTTTTTTTTTCGTTTTGTTTTTTTACTACTGTAGTAGTGTTTCACATTCATCTAAATAAATACCGGTTCTTACATTTATACTGGGAATAGACTATACCTTTAAATACTCTGCCAGAATATAATGTGACCCTACAATTGTGCCATCCAAGAAACTCCCCACCAGATATACATTAACATTAATATGAGGCCAAAACCTATAAAATGTACCTAAAGAAACACTTTAACATTTAGGAGTCAAACATTTTTCTCACTATCTAGATTTATCCCCATCCCCCCTACCCTAAAAAAAACTTTAAATTTAAAAAGAAATAAGATTGTCTTAGCTTTAGTTCCATAATGTGACGGTTTCTGTTTTCACCGCGGATGCCAATTCTCTACGGCTAAAGTTATCTTTACAGATGAAGCAATCAAATGCTTCTCCATTAAGCTGTAGTGGTCCTGGTGCTTACAGTGTCCCTTTAAATTGGTTTGTTGCCCTACGTGTGCCTGGAACGTTCTTTCCAGAGTCGTACTGTTGTTTGTGCGTCAACAAATTTAGTGATGTATTTCCGTCCATTTAAAGCTGTAGTGGAGTCCTTTATTTTGCGAGATTTTCTTTGGCTGTGGTTCTGGTGGCTCCTTCTGGTATTGCTGATCCATTTGTCATTTATTTCCTCACATCCTGGCTTTTATTTTTTCTCCTTTTTCTCTTCAGTTGTCCAGTTGTTTGGATATGAAATCTCCATTCCATTCACCAAAATGTATCCCTAATTGAAAAGAATTAAAAAAAAAACAAATTGCTCTTTGGTATCATGGAAAATATGTCTATCTATCTATATGCATTATATGCTTACCGTAACTGTGCACATTATACGTATTATGTAACTATGCAAAACTATATTATAAATACTGTTTACACATACACACTGTATACATATATAACATATAAATCTTATATGCTAATGATTTACTCTAGTCATATACTCGATATCAAAACTCTACACAAGCTCTATACATTGTATGTACTCTATATGTATATGTAGATTAAATACTCTATGCATACCTATTATGCTTAAATGCACTAAATACATATATACACCATATATCCTGTGTATTCTATATACAATCTGCTATGTACACAGGTATACACCGAATATACAATATATATACTACATTTCATAGTTATACACTCTATATGTACTAGTTATGCTGAAATGCATTATACACTCTACATGCACTTTACACATATATACACCATATATCCTGTGTATTCTATATACAATCTGCAATGTACACAGGTATACACCGAATATACAATATATATACTACATTCAATAGTTACATACGCTATATATACTTGTTATGCTACAATGCATTATACACTCTACATGCACTATATACATATATACACCATATATCCGGTATATTTTATATACAATCTGCAATGTATAGAGGTATACACTGAATATACAATATATATACTACATTTAATAGTTACGTTATGTATAATGTAAAGGGTGGGCCAATATTAAGAGTAGGATTTGACAGGTAAATAACTTGTTAGTAGTTGAATTTTTCAGTTGCAGGTACATATTATAACTGAGTCTTTATAAATTCATCGTGGGTAATTTCATGGAGTTACAACGAGTAAACGTAGTGGAATTGAAATCTCAAAATGGCAGGTCCATTATTTTAACGCAAAGAGCTTACCACCGGCACTTCAATGTAAGCTGCCACGTTTGTACATCTTTTGAGCTCCTAAGTACTTCCTGGGTGGATATCTGAAGTTTTTGATGTATATAAACAAACCACGTACACTTGAGCAGATCAAGGAGAATATTTGTGCATAAATTCGAGCCTCAAACATTAGCTTCTGTTATGAACAATGCAATCGAAAGCGTCCGACTTTGCGAGGCGGTAAATGGAACTGATTTAAAAGATGTCATCTTCCGTACATAGTCAGGCAAATCTTCATACGCCGAGCATTCATTGTTTGTAATATCATTGAAATTGGTTCATTCATAAAAAAAGTTATTCACCCCTCAAACCCTACTCTGAATTTGGCAGAGTTTAAACTTTATATACAATCAAAATACATAAATGCACTATATACTCTACACTATATAAATATTTCTTAAACACATATATACACTTTTAACACTATTGACTTTAGGTATTTATACACTTTATATTTTATAAATATATCTATACACTGTAGATTAACTTTATACATATTTACTATATAAACAGTATTCACTATACACACATACATAATTCTATATAATTATATTCTCCATATAGCAAGGCAGTAAGGAAAGTCTGCATTATTTTCTTAATTAAGAAGGTGGGAAATACCCACAATGCACTTTCCTTACCTTCTCTTATTAATCTTTCCTGCATCCTGAACGCACTTAAGCTCTTCATATATCAGACCATCTTGAAAATAGATCCACGTAATATGCTTCCCCTTCTTCTTGATCCTCCAGTCTCTCTTTGGCCCAGATTTTGATGAATCTGTAGGACCCTCGGATTGGTGTTTTTAAACATTTCATCTAGCCTGGTTTTAGGTTGTCCTCCTTGGCCAGTGAACACCAGCTGTAAACAAAACAACTCTAGTTGAGCATTCTGATGTTGCTATGACTACTTTTGGTGTCATATCAGTGGATATAAATGATGTCATAAACAGTTTTGTGTTGTGCAGGGAAAGTCAATGCTACAGTGTCAAGCATGCAAAATGTGCATTCTATTAACAGTCACTCACCCAATCAATCTGCAATGAATGATATCAATGTAGCATTGATTGATAGATTCCTAAATGTATCCCAAGTACTGATTTCATATCAAACAAGAGGTTTTTTTTTTTCGTTTAGTTTTTTTACTACAGTAGTAGTGTTTCACATTCATCTAAATAAATACTGGTTCTTACATTTATACTGGGAATAGACTATACCTTTAAATACTCTGCCAGAATATAATGTGACCCTACAATGGTGCCATCCAAGAAACTCCCCATCAGATATACATTAACATTAATATGAGGTCAAAACCTACAAAATGTACTTAGATAAACACACTAACATTAAGGAGACAAACATTTTTCTCACTATTTAGATTTATCTCCATCCCCCCTACCCTAAAAAAAACTTTACATTTCAAAAGAAATTAGATTGTCTTAGCTTTATTTCCATAATGTGACGGTTTCTGTTTTCACCGCGGATGCCAATTCTCTCCGGCTAAAATTATCTTTACAGATGAAGCAATCAAATGCTTCTCCATTAAGCTCATAGGCGTGCGCACGGGGTGTGCCGGGTGTGCCTTTAAATTGGTTTGTTGCCCTACGTGTGCCTGGAACGTTCTTTCCAGAGTCGTACTGTTGTTTGTGCGTCAACAAATTTAGTGATGTATTTCCGTCCATTTAAAGCTGTAGTGGAGTCCTTTATTTTGCGAGATTTTCTTTGGCTGTGGTTCTGGTGGCTCCTTCTGGTATTGCTGATCCATTTGTCATTTATTTCCTCACATCCTGGCTTTTATTTTTTCTCCTTTTTCTCTTCAGTTGTCCAGTTGTTTGGATATGAAATCTCCATTCCATTCACCAAAATGTATCCCTAATTGAAAAGAATTAAAAAAAAAACAAATTGCTCTTTGGTATCATGGAAAATATGTCTATCTATCTATATGCATTATATGCTTACCGTAACTGTGCACATTATACGTATTATGTAACTATGCAAAACTATATTATAAATACTGTTTACACATACACACTGTATACATATATAACATATAAATCTTATATGCTAATGATTTACTCTAGTCATATACTCGATATCAAAACTCTACACAAGCTCTATACATTGTATGTACTCTATATGTATATGTAGATTAAATACTCTATGCATACCTATTATGCTTAAATGCACTATATACATATATACACCATATATCCTGTGTATTCTATATACAATCTGCTATGTACACAGGTATACACCGAATATACAATATATATACTACATTTCATAGTTATACACTCTATATGTACTAGTTATGCTGAAATGCATTATACACTCTACATGCACTTTACACATATATACACCATATATCCTGTGTATTCTATATACAATCTGCAATGTACACAGGTATACACCGAATATACAATATATATACTACATTCAATAGTTATATACTCTATATATACACTTGTTATTCTTAAATGCACTATACGCTCTACATGCACTACATACATATACACACCATACATCCTGTGTATTCTATTTACAATCTGCAATATATAGAGGTATACACCGAATATACAATATATATATATATATATATATTACATTCAATAGTTATATACTCTGTATATACTTCTTATGCTTAAATGTCCTATACACTCTACATGCACTACATACATATATACAACATATATCCTGTGTATTCTATATACAATCTGCAATGTACACAGGTATACACCGAATATACAATATATATACTACAGTCAATAGTTATATACTCTATATATACTTGTTATTCTTAAATGCACTATACACTCTACATGCACTTTACACATATATACACCATATATCCTGTGTATTCTATATACAATCTGCAATGTACACAGGTATACACCGAATATACAATATATATATACTACATTCAATAGTTACATACGCTATATATACTTTTTATGCTAAAATGCACTATACACGCTACATACACTATATACATATATACACCATATATCCTGTGTATTCTATATACAATCTGCAATATACACAGGTATACACCGAATATACAATATATATACTACATTTAAGTTACATACGCTATATATACTTGTTATGCTTAAATGCACTATACACTCTACATACACTATATACATATATACACCATATATCCTGTGTATTCTATATATAATCTGCAATGTACACAGGTATACACCGAATATACAATATATATACTACATTCAATAGTTATATACTCTATAAATACTTCTTATGCTTAAATGCACAATAGACTCTATATGCACTTTACAAATATATACACCATATATCCTGTGTATTCTATATACAATCTGCAATGTACACAGGTATACACCGAATATACAATATATATATACTACATTCAATAGTTACATACGCTATATATACTTGTAATACTTAAATGCACTATACACTCTACATACACTATATACATCTATACATATATACACCATATATCCTGTGTATTCTATATACAATCTGCAATGTACACAGGTATACACCGAATATACTATATATATATATATACTCCATTCAATAGTTATATACTCTATATGTACTTGTTATGCTTAAATGTCTTAAACACTCTACATGCACTACATACATATATACACCATATATCTTGTGTATTCTATATACAATCTGCAATGTATAGAGGTATACACCAAATATACAATATATATATACTACATTCAATAGTTACATACGCTATATATACTTGTTATGCTGCAATGCATTATACACTCTACATGCACTATATACATATATACACCATATATCCGGTATATTCTATATACAATCTGCAATGTATAGAGGTATACACTGAATATACAATATATATATACTACATTTAATAGTTACGTTATGTATAATGTAAAGGGTGGGCCAATATTAAGAGTTGGATTTGACAGGTAAATAACTTGTTAGTAGTTGAATTTTTCAGTTGCAGGTACATATTATAACTGAGTCTTTGTAAATTCATCGTGGGTAATTTCATGGAGTTACAACGAGTAAAAGTAGTGGAATTGAAATCTCAAAATGGCAGGTCCATTATTTTAACGCAAAGAGCTTACCACCGGCACTTCAATGTAAGCTGCCACGTTTGTCCATCTTTTGAGCTCCTAAGTACTTCCTGGGTGGATATCTGAAGTTTTTGATGTATATAAACAAACCACGTACACTTGAGCAGATCAAGGAGAATATTTGTGCATTAATTCGAGCCTCAAACATTAGCTTCTGTTATGAACAATGCAATCGAAAGCGTCCGACTTTGCGAGGCGGTAAATGGAACTGATTTAAAAGATGTCATCTTCCGTACATAGTCAGGCAAATCTTCATACGCAGAGCATTCATTGTTTGTAATATCATTGAAATTGGTTCATTCATAAAAAAAGTTATTCACCCCTCAAACCCTACTCTGAATTTGGCAGAGTTTAAACTTTATATACAATCAAAATACATAAATGCACTATATACTCTACACTATATAAATATTTCTTAAACACATATATACACTTTTAACACTATTGACTTTAGGTATTTATACACTTTATATTTTATAAATATATATCTATACACTGTAGATTAACTTTATACATATTTACTATATAAACAGTATTCACTATACACACATACATAATTCTATATAATTATATTCTCCATATAGCAAGGCAGTAAGGAAAGTCTGCATTATTTTCTTAATTAAGAAGGTGGGAAATACCCACAATGCACTTTCCTTACCTTCTCTTATTAATCTTTCCTGCATCCTGAACGCACTTAAGCTCTTCATATATCAGACCATCTTGAAAATGGATCCACGTAATATCCTTCCCCTTCTTGTTGATCCTCCAGTCTCTCTTTGGCCCAGATTTTGATGAACCTGTAGGACCCTCGGATTGGTGTTTTTAAACATTTCATCTAGCCGGGTTTTAGGTTGTCCTCCTTGGCCCGTGAACACCAGCTGTAAACAAAACAACTCTAGTTGAGCATTCTGATGTTGCTATGACTACTTTTGGTGTCATATCAGTGGATATAAATGATGTCATAAACAGTTTTGTGTTGTGCAGGGAAAGTCAATGCTACAGTCAGTGGCGTACACATGATCCATGGGGCCCGGTGCGAAAATTTAACCGTGGGCCCCCCCGCGCTTACTCGGCGCGGGTCGGGGCCGCAACACATGGCGGCGGGCACCTGGTCGCAGGGGTTGCAGGGCTGCGACCCCGCGGTATGCACACACACTTAAAGGACCACTACAGACACCCTGATCACATGAGCTCAATGAAGTGGTCTGGGTGCCAGGTCCCTCTAGTTTTAACCCTGCAGCTGAAAACATAGCCGTTTCAGAGAAACGGCTATGTTTCACTGAGGGTTAATCCAGCCTCTGGTGGCTGTCTCATTGACAGCTGCTAGAGGAGCTTCCACGATTCTCACTGTGAAAATCACAGTGAGAAGACACTGTACGTCCATAGGAAAGCATTGAGTAATGCTTTCCTATGGGCGGTTCAAATGCACGTGCGCCTCTTGCCGCACATGTGCATTCGGAGCTGAGAGGCGGAGGGATCCCCAGCGCCAAGGGAGTCCGACGCTGGAGAAAGGTAAATGCTAAAGACATACACACACACACTCTCACGAACAGACGCATACACACTAGCTAACAGACACACACATTTACTGACAGAGACACACTCAGCGACAGACATACATACACACTCACTTACAAAACATACACTTTCACTGACAAACACACACTCACTAACAGACATCAAACACACTCAGTAACAGACACACACAGTAACACACTCACTAGCAGACACACACCCAATAACAGATACACTGACACACACACTAACACAAACACTAAAACACACACACTAACATACATACACATACATACACACACTAACATACACACATACACTATCACTCACATACACTAACACACACACATACATACACTAACACACACACACATACACTAACACACACACATACATACACTAACACACACACACTTTAACATACATACATACACTAACACACACATACATACACTAATACACTAACACACACATACATACATACACTAACACACACACACACACATACATACACTAACACACACACACACACATACACTAACACACACACATACATACACTAACACACACACACACACATACACTACTTACGCACACACTAACACACACATACACTAACACACACACTAACACACACATACACTAACACACACACACACACATACACTAACACACACACACATACACTAACACACACATACACATACATACATACACTAACACACACACACACACACATACATACACTAACACACACACATTTTTTTTTTTTTAATTTAATCCCCCCAGACTCCTTACCTTTTGGAGTGCTGGGGGGATTCCCTGGGGTCCAGTAGTGCTGCTGGGCGGGCTGGCTGTCTCGGTGGCCGGCGCGCGAGGGAGCACTCTCCCCTGAGTGCTTCCTCTTCAGCTCCCTCACGCGCCGCATAGGGATGCCGGCGCCGGAAGATGACGTCATCTTCCGGCTCCGGTATCAGTG